CAGCTTCGCCCAGTGTTTTAAGCCAAACACACTCCATGTGACTGGCCTCTCGCCCCTGAAACGATTCCAATGTATGTGGAGGCCATACATGGAGTCGTTGGAAATTAGTTGAAGCATCCTGTGAGTTTCAATTGTGAAGTGTGAAGCAACCAACAAAGAGTGGATGCCACGAACAGGTTCATTCGACAGTAGGTTCATTCAACGTGAACGTCGACATCTGGAAGTCATGAGGCACAATGAAAGAGTTGCCTTCCCGAGGATCTTTAGATCCCTTGGCCAACAAGGACATCGTAAAATTCATGGCTTGGGAATTGACACCCTTCTTCAACCATCCCTATAGGCCCTAGAGAACCTTGCGGCGTTTATTTCTGACCTCATGAACACATATAGAAAACATTAGAAAACACTGATACTTTTGGTCGGCGGAGAAACACACCGCACACGTTTCAGTGGGCGTTTACACGCTGCATCCGAGGTCAATTTTCAACTTGAGGTTCTAGACCTCCGAGTTGAGGTCCAGACACGCTGCAATCCGAGTCGTTTCGACGCCGCCAACAGATGTTCTGTAGGTCTGGGGTGCATGCGGCATGCGTACCGCTGCTCGGCGATATAGTGGTCCCCAAATAGATAGAAACGCTTTCCAATACATTCCGCGCATGGGGAATCTACTCTTCTATCTGTTGGAGGGGTTCATACATGAGACTCTGAACCCCTACGATTCAGAACGCCCGTTCCTCTTTCGTGAGAGAAACCTCGACCGACCCCAGTCCCCAGGTACGAGCGCTGGGCGTTGGAGTCCCTGAAGCGTGGACGAGTGCCCACCGAAATGGATCCCAGTCGGGACCCGAGGCCGTACGCGCGCGGGTACGTACGTCATCCGCGCGGAGACGAGTCATCCGCGGTGTTTGCGGATCGCCTGGTTCAACGGTTGGGTGTTTTGTTTGGGTGGGATGAGTCTAGGGCGAGGTGGGCGGATGGTGGAGGCTTGAGATGGGTGGAGGGCGAAGCGGTGTGAACTCGTCTCTTTGTTGGTGTTCTCTGCCGTCTCGACTCTGGCCGGCTCATGCCCTCAAATTGGGGAAAAAACGATGCAACCATCACAATGCATGCCTTTTGTCAGGATTTGTCATGTATTGTCGGGTGTTTTCTAGATTCTAAGATTTATGCGGCCTCGGAGCTGTGGGTGGGTTTGGTGATGATCGCTGCGGTTCGGAGAGGGAAGTCGACTCTTGAATTATTGGTCAACCCCCCCCGGACATTGTGGCTGGATTGCTTTTAAAACTGGGACCCAGGCGAGCCAGCCAGTTCTTCTTCAAATTGCACTCACTAAGACGTCAGGTGTTCCTCAAACACAAGTGCCAAGACCCCAAGAAGAGCACAACACCAACAACACAAGAAAGTTTTGGGGAAGTCTTCTCAAGGTGCTCCGAGGTTTTTCCACCATACTATCGGGATGAGTGAGTGCTCCACCCTTTGGAGCTTGGAAGAGTCGGAGCTAGGAGCGAGTGACCAGGGTTAACAAAAACACACACATCTTCCAGGTTTTCAGGGGTGGTGAATGGATACCCGAATCACCGAGCCTACGGAGCTAGACATCCCCTTCGGCCCCGGGGGGGCCTTGGAAGATGTGTTGGTCTTTTGGAGGCTCTTGCAAAACTGTGGGACGACTGGGGATCCATGTGCCCTCTTTAGATCCCCCCAAATCATGGGAGACCCTTCAAGTCGGCAACATGGTCGGACCAGCATGGATGGTAGAACGCCTTCAGACACGGGGTCGATTTGGGTTCATTTCAAGAGAGCGAGTGTTCAGGGTTTGAGTCCCCTTCACAGGACCTCAGAACACTCCAATCCAGAAACGACGCCGATGGCTCGTGGCAGCCCACGCATATCGTGAATCCATGAGTTTCTGCTGACATCTGCTGACCCTTCTTGCTTCTTCCAGCAGGGAGGCGGTGTCCCCTCAGGGCCTCTTGGATGTTTGAAGAGAGGATCCCAGACTTGATGCATGGATTTTTTACATACCTACATTCACCCCAGGTCAACAACCGCAATGTGGGTGATCAGTCCCAGATGGGTCGTGTTTGGGTCGAACGTTCAACCTAAAAGCCCGCTCCAAAGCGCATCGACCGTGCATCTGGTTGGGTCTATCATAGGTGCTCTCGAAATAGCGCCCCTGGCGCTTGGATGCATGTGACGAAGGGTCCCTCCCATCAGTGGTCTGAGACAACTAGCATTAGAAGCAGAACCGGGCTTGGGAGATGCTGGTGCAGCGCTAGTGGTCGGCCTGCAGCCTATTCGGCTCATAAGACGACGGAGACATAGAGGCCAGAAACTGTCCTATTGGTCAGTCGTCTCACTTACAGTAAACTGAGACTTAAAGATACAATATATGCACATGTACCCTGATAGGACCCTGATGGAAGGACCCTGATGGAAGTGCCATACGGATAATTGGCCCATGGAGAAGAAAGTGGGAGCAAGAGAGTGGGTGAACCCTTTCTTAACGTTTGACTTCAAGCGAATCCAAGAGTTGACGCCCACAATCAGAACGACATGGAGGCAAATTCGAAGGCATCATGACAGTTCCACACCAGCTTCACACACTGCCAGTTGCCTGAATGGGACGCGCAGGTGCCACCAATGCCGGTGAACCTTCTTGAACACATGTATTCAGGTCCCCGAGAGTGGCACACAGAAACAACCCACACACTGACCGCCGGCCGCCTTCCCGCGTTATCACGCGCGCGCTGCACGCGTTTGCCATGCCCCAATGCAGCAGATTCGTGCCTGGCGCAAGGCGCCGGAGGCGACCGCGGCGACCTGGAATGCAACGAGCAGAGGAGTCGTATTGGCTGAAGGGATCAAGTCAAATTGGCTGGTGCCAGCGGCATTTTTGAGCTGGAACGCTCCCCAAACACCTTGTCTTCTCATGTTGTTGCTTCTGACAAAAGATTCAGATGATTGGCGCAGGATTTCTTTCAACCACTGAAGAGGTTTTTGTTGGCACAGTTTTTTCTCGATTTTTGAAGCTTGGTGAATCGAATTTCGAGTCGAGCAATGTTTGGTCAAAGCAGGTGTTCAACGTTTAGTCCATGTCTTCAAGGTGCTTTTTTTCCAGCTGGTCTTGGCAATTCATGTTTGTGCATTCGTGTTTGGTGCAATTTTGTGCAGACCATTTCGTTTTTCGTAGTTTGTCAAGCAATAGGCAGGGCCGCGTCAAACCATAATTTCCAGGTGTTCCATCTGAAAACACATTGAATTGGTCTTTTGTAGATCAAGACCTCTATTCTGACTGGTGCAACTTGTAGAGAATACGGGAGTTTCAGGAATGGAACCCGGCGGATCCCTTACGAGTCGCAACGGTTAGTATTTTGCATAGGGACAACTGCTGGACAACTGCTGCTTTGGGTTCTGGAATTGTCTCGAAACTCTTGACGGGATATACCAAGGTCTCCGTTGCTACCCATGCCTTCGACGAAACTCGAGGTGGAACCGGAGAACTGACTGAGGGCATGGCTGGAAGGTTTGAAGATTGGGTGGAAGAAAGACGGTTATTTACAGATGGAATTCCCTAGACATTAATGAACAAGGAAGTGTACGGCCAGCTGTATAGAACATCTTGGAAAAAAACATGAAGATACACTGCCCACGGTCCCTAGCTTCTGCTCAACTTCCTGAAATGTTGAAGGTTCCTTCCAAAGACAAGGGCAAATGATTGAGATATGCCATTATCCCGTTGAAACGCTGTTTAGGTGTTTAGCTTCGCCCTCAGTGTTAGGGCCTTGTCTGGAAAGATTTCGAGATGATGGATGCCCTCCCCAAAACACAAATGGAAGGAGGTGGAAAAGTCTCCCTTTGGGGTAAGTTTAGCACCTGCTACTTGAAAAAATCTAGGCATATAAACAATACGAAAGCATAGCAAAAACATGTTTGACGTCGATTAATCACGAAAGGTAGCTTGAGCTACCTGAGTTCTCCTTGCTTTAGCAAAAATGTATTACAATCAGGAGTTGGGATTGTGCATTGAGTTTGGTCCTGTAAGAGTTGATTCTGTTCGTCGGGGGGGGGGCCCCCCCTGGATCAAATCCCCCCTCCGCCGGTTCACGCCGTCATGGACTTTTACCAGGGTTGCTTGTGATTGCCTGCTACCTTTCGTTCACCCCCTCCTCTCTCAAGTACAGTAAACATGTTTTCTGTTTGTCTTTTCGTTCCAGCCGTCACTGTAGCGTGGCCTTCCTACTACGTGGTTCGAAGGCGCGAGCTTGACCTCGCAGCGCTTGACGGAGCTCTTTGCCAGTTCCTGTGATGGAAGGGTGGAGGTTTTTGGAAACTGTGCCTCAAAAGGAGGCAGGTCGTAATTTTTGGCTTCAAGACCACAATTTGTCTCTTATGGGGTCCTTTTGGGGATGGTACTATTTACTGTACATCCATCTACTCTGAATCCACTACGCAAAGGTGGTGCAGATATACGCACTACCAACAGAGGTTGAAAAACCCTATATCGACTGTCACATAGGTACCCCAGGTGAGTGGTCCTACTTACGGTCACTTAACCTTTGTTGGTATGATACATTATGGTCTTAAATCCTGTATAGATGTCATGGGGATGGTTTTTTTTGGCCCTCGTGGTGGGAATGAGTTATTTTTTGTTGATTTTCGTTTGCTTCAAGAGCGCCTTGCTCAGTTCAGTTCCAGCGCCGGACCAGATCATCCCACGAGTAGGCTGGCGCCTGGCACATGTGGTGCAGATGTTTTGGAGTGGTTTTTGCCTATATAGTCATTTAGTTATATATGTCTACCTAGAACCTGGATGTCCTTTGTTTTGATCATTGGACCCATATTACGCTAGTCTCCTCATTGCTAGCATGCAAAATACGCCCCTTTGTCCAAAATACGGGTTTTACGTATTTTCATGTTTTTTCCAAGCATCCACCAAACCCATCCCAGCACACCAATCTCAACTTGGACCTCCTGTTTTCCAGTGCTTGCTCAAGTCTCCCTTAGATCATTTCTGATCTTTTACGCTTGTTGCAAGCTCCCTCCAGCCCCCTTCTATCAAAAGCTGCTGCGTCTAAAGCACGTTGGACTAGGATCAGAACTCTGCACAAAACATTTCGGTGAACTTGTCTGATGCTCACACGGCGTGACACACGGCTAGGACGCCCTATGTAGTCCTCCTGGCACTGAACCGATGTTGCCAGTGGGTTCTGGACCCAAAGAAGGACCTCACTTTGCCTTTTCATTTTCAAGGCCAAGTGAGCCAAAAAGTGTGCCTTTGGCATGATTGGGAACCGCCTCTTCTTGAGCCGCAGAGTCAAGTGGGCACAAGTCTGGTATGCACCCAAGAAGAAGAAGAGGCATCGCACTAGGCATCTCGCATCTGCTTGTCGGAGCCAGAAGCCACTGCAGTAGAATGCAGACAATGCCAGGTTCATGAACTTGGTGGCTTCAGCCTACCAATGCAAGCAAGCAAAACATCCATGAAACCGTGCCCACAATGTGCAACAACAAAAAACACAGAATGCAAAAACTACAAAGGGAAACACCTATACAATTAATCTTTCTAACGAAGGGACAACCAACAGAAGAACTCGATCGTCAGTCTTGCCAACAACAGCTTCTTGGCAAAAGTGGTCCAAAAAGAGCATCATTGTCGTGGAACAGCTTCCCTTGTTCCACTTGCCCACAGGGCAGGCACTGCTTTGCGGCCAGCACAGAGTATCTCGGGTGATCTCTGTGACCCACATCGCTATCTTTCTTTGTCGACAGAATGCTCGATACTGAGTTGAAATGCCTTCAAATTTGCTTTCGACAGACGTTTCTGGCAAAAGATTGGATTCAACAATGCAAGCATATGCGGAGGCAACCCAATGCTTCGCAACGCCAAGGTGGAAGCAATGCCACAAATCCACATTGAACCAAGCAGCGATTTCCTTTCTGTTCAAAGGAATGCCTCGAAGAAATACCGGTTCTTCCTCCCATGGCACAGCTGCATTCAACGTCTCTTCCCAGCAAGGTGTATCACTCAGATCTTCAAACGGGTAATGCACCGCACCTGTCCTCGCACATGCTTCCTGTCCTCCAAGACACAAGTGGCATATGCCTTCACTTGCAGTCCTTGACGAGGGTCTTTTTGGTACATGTGAGAAAGACCGAAAGAACCAACCAAGCTTTCCTAGAGCAGGAAGGTCGCCAGTAGTTCCAAGGTGTACCACTCTAACATGTTGGCCACCAGCGGAAACTCCTTCATGGATCAACCTCGACATGTCCTCTGCCACCACTTCAAGCAATTTCTCAAGAGCCTCTGGGTGGTCATTTGAACATCGCTTCTGCATGGTAGCCAGCAAGAAGTTCGAAGTCAATGAAGAGCCGATGAAATTCATCCCCAGCTCATTGGATTCCAAAGGCTCCAAATGCTTCCGCTGCTTGAGAAAGCCCTGTGTACCACGACCCAAGGCTCCGTGGCATGAAATCACCAGAAGCGGCTCCTTCTTCAAGGATCTGCCCTCGTCTGTGTGACTATAAACTGGAATGCACCGGCACAGATCTACTTCCAGCAGGCGAGCCATCTCGAACAGTTCATGTTCAGGAGAAACTTTTTCATACCTGTCCCAGAATTCCTGCAGCAAGTATTCCATGTCCTCGAACCCCTCTACACCACAAAGATGGAGGGGAAGCCGCCGAGTCTCTAGCAATTGCCTGACCCAGCTGGACATTTTGATAAAAGGAAATTCCTTCACCATTGGACCCTCGCCCAAACAGGCATGATCAATCGGAACATTTGGAACAAGGTTGTTCCGTCTCAAAAGTGCGTGCACAGCCACCTCTGCATCATCCGGTCTAATTCGTGCAAACTCTTTCACCAGTCTACTTGACTGGGGATTGCTGAGAACATCAGCCCGAGCAAGCTCCACAATGTGCTTGCAAGGGACCTTGGCGAGCGATAGAGGGACCATCAGGTCCTATCAAGTAGATTGGGCTTCTGAGGAGGTTTTCGAGGGGTAAGTGGGTTTGGTTGGATGCCTGCAAAAAATGTTTAAGTTCAGCCTTCAAAGATTGTTTGTTTTTTCCCCCGCACGAACCACAATGTTACAAGCAAATTTTGTGGAGATGCTCCACAAGTCTAGTTTTTAGACACCAAGTTCACCAGTTAAAACCTCCAACATGGATAAGATCTACATTGTTGGCAAGCATGGATGATCCACGTGGAGCGCATGGAGCGGTGGCCATTTTTGATACACAGTGCAAAACAGCTCGGTGGATGTGCAGTGCCAACCTTGACACGAAATAGCTAAATACCACATTTCCCTCTAACAGAGATTGCTAGTGCTTTCGCATGGGATAGGATGGTACCGAGGGAAGGCTTTTGATCATGGCTCAGGGATCCAATGTGTTCACTTGTTTCCAGTCGAAGGGCACGGAGAAAGGGCAGGATCCCTTGAGATGATCCCCTCACCAGGTGTATGTTCTTTGGCTATAGCTTATCATGTGCATGTGACAAACAAGCATTCAGGAAATTAAGAGATTCCTTTTGCAGTCTACATTGCTTGATGTTGGCTTGCGCTTACTGCCTGGTGGCCTGGTGGGCGGTGGCAATGGAGCTGGTTCAGGACTGCTTGCAGGACAGTTCCCTACCAGAAAAAACTAATTAAACTTTTTCAAGAACACCCACCACTGTGACCCACAGTGCACCAAGAACTGGTTGAAACCCTTTTTACGTGGTTTCCCACAAAAAACTTCCATTAGCAAGAGATGTGAACATGATGGGCAGTCTCATCACATCTAGTTTGTGAGCACTCTACGTAAGAAGAACCACAAAGAAGTTGTTTTCATCCAGTTATGTCTAAACACGACCGCTGCGAGAATTGTGCAGAACATCTAAACGCCAGTTTGCTGTTCAACATCTATATTTGTGCCATGTGGCCACTGCACAGGGACACAGGCCACAACTATGTTGCACGACCATGAAACAAAACATGTTCTTTCGTGATGCTTCTCCAGGATCCCAAAGGCCCTGGCTCCATCACCGATCAAGCGCATGTACTGGTCCACAAGGCGGTCGGGTTGACCTGGCGCATCCAATCCTCCTTTCCAGGAAACAAGGTTAGGTAGTTAGCAGTTAGCTAGTGCCAGATTGATCACGCTGCATCAAGATTTCTGCAGCGCTCGCGAAAAGTCAGACACTCATTCAAGTGTCCTTGACACCCTGAAACCCCAAAGCAAAGCCTATCACGTGCTGTTTGCACATGTTCGTAGGCTCCTCCCCAACAAAATCCCTGGTGCCCTTCAAAGGCACCAAACAAATCAGCAATCACTCCAAACCATATCACTCACTCGCTGGCGAGCTTTTTGAGGGTCTTCAGCAAAGCCCTTAGATACCAAAGTAAAAGGACAGCTAGCCAAACTACAAGTTAAGCAGGGAGATTGCCAGCTTCATATTTTCATTAACAGTAACACCTGATGGCTAGCAAGAAACAAACCACTTTGCCCTGACGAGAGTCTTTGCGGTACTCTCCCGAGTCGTAACCTTTGAGCACCTCAAATCGGGCATTGGTGTGAATACTGTAAAATGTCCTGGGCACCGTTTGCGGCAGGTAGTGCAAACAGCGACTATGAAGACCAGGCACTTTGTCGAGGACGCTTGCATTTGCTTGTCGGTCTTCTGAAGAAGCCTGGGTTGGATGATGCTAGAATTATTATTGTATATATGTTTTCTGAGGGCTATCAATGAAAGAGTTTAAGTACGACTCTGTGCAAACAAAGGGCTCTTTTTCACCTGGGCTGCCTTTGGTGGCCTTCTTGTGCTTTTCGATCTCACATCGCACGCCCTCACATGCCTCATACTCAGCCTCAAGGATTCCAATGGCACTCTCCAGGTTGTCGACAGACCTGGGCACCACAAAGGGGTAAAAGATGATTATCAGACATGAAATGAAATTAGTGACTAAGACTAAGACTGTGAAACACGCTTTCCTTCAGAACTGTCTGATGCTTTGCCAGAGTTGTCAAGGGCCGATCCCAAGTCGGTAATCAACTCTGATAGCTTGGTCGTTCTTGAAAGAAGGCTATCCGAGAACTTCTTGAAACGGTGGTACTCCTACACAACAAACTCCAGGAAACAAAAATAGCATTACGATGTTCTTTGCATTCACAGATTCCATCTTACAATTGTGCAAACAATTACCAGTCCTGCTGGGCACCATTGGAAACATCAGGTTCTGACCCCGAACCATCCGGATCAGACTCGGGTTCTGCAGGCACGTTCTTCCCCTTGACCTTCCCCAGCGTGCGGAAGTCGAAGTCCTCCGCCTCAGGATAGCGGCTCGGACATGCAGAGGCTATCCCACGTGGCATGCCAATGCTGATGAAGGCAGCTGGGGCACAGTTTCCTCTTTGATGTTTTGCTCAACTTCCTCATCCTCGGACACGTCGGTGTCGTTCTCGTCCACAACCACGTAGAACTTTTCAAGGTTCTTGTTGTAGATGTCCTTCCTTGCAAAATGAAACAGGAAGCTATGAAGACACCCCATAGGTATTATTATTGCTGATATGATTTGAGGTTCAATGTTCGATGCCAATGAGTGAGGAAATATCAACTCAGCAGTTGAATTCACTCACACCCCCAATGCAAAAAAGAGTCTTGATAAGGCGTTCATTGCCCTTGCGTCGGCAGTAAGCAACCACAGACTTGATGTAGGACCTGGGCTGTTGAGGTTCGTAGATTCCTTTTGTCTTGAACCATGCAATGAACTTTCAAACTTAATCATCAAAGAAGCTTGCTCCAACCAAGCTTTGTTTTCATCTGTTCCTCTGTGTACCAGCCCCGTTTTTTCTTCCTGGTAAGCTTGTTCGTTTTGGTCTGAATCTTGGTGCGCTTGACGAAGGTCTCCTAGAGCCACAGTAATCAACACAGTTTGAGATTCCAAAAAGTAGTGTGCTATTATAGCTACAGATGGTTTATATCTCATATATTTCCTGTTGAACAAAGTTGAGCAGCACACAAAACATGGGGTCAATCCTTGTCCCACCCAGCATCTTCTAGCTCGTCGCACATGGCCACACGCTCATCGTGATTGGCCGTGCGCCAACGATTGTGCACTTCCTCTGGGACCATCAGTTTGCCACTGGGCTTACGCTCGCAAACCCTCCTGAGACGAGCCATCTTTGCTGCCTCAGTTTCCGGAGGAGGTTTGCCTTGGCTCTCAGGTTCAGAACTCACCTTCTTAGGAGGTGCAGACTTAGGAGCAGGTGGAGACTTAGGAGCAGGTGCAGACTTAGCAGCAGCTGCTTTTGACTTAGCAGCAGCTGCTTTTGCCTTAGGAGCGGGTGCCCCCTTGGCCTGTTCCAACTCCACCTTGAGCTTCTCAATCTCGAGTTGCATCTTTGAACCTGCCTAGACAGGGCCACCAAACAAATAAGTAGAGCTCAATGTGCAGGACCATGTCCAGTCCAAAAGAAACAAAACAAATGCGCATCTAATCATCCAATCTCTCTAGCCTTGGTCAACTCTGCAATTGCCCTATCCTTGTCAGGATCTGGCTGCTTTTGCTTCAACCGCTTTGACTCGGCAGGGTTGCCCGAGCCACCGACATGGGGGGCAGTGACTCTGGCTGGGGTGGCCACAGGTCTCTCAGCCCGCTTTTTCTTGGCAGCGGCCAGTTGTGATGGGGTGGCCTTGGAGAAGATCGAAAAAGTGGTGATGTCCATGGACCAATAAACCTTGTGGGTAAGCATTTCATTTTGTTTTATCGAACGAAGGGGTCGATAATGCAGCCTGATGGCTGGTTGGGTCTCATCATCAGCACCCGCTTCTGCCTCCTTAGCAGGAGGGAGGTGAAGTTGGCACCTTGTTTTTGTAGTTAAAAGGTTGGTGGAATTGAACCTTTCCTAAAAAGGACAGGGAACTGGTTCATCTCCTTGGCTGGCCTTGAGCTTTGCAATTTCTGCTTCGTAGTCCTTCCAGGGGGAATCAATATGTATGATTCATTTTGGCGAAGAAAGAGATGAAGATAAGATATCTCCCAAACATTTCAACATCATGTGCTCATCGCAGTGCCCAAACCTTGAAATAGAAAGTTGGGAGAAAGCTTGCCCCCCCCCCCACAAAGCATGTTGGATACCTGGAAGGGTTGCGCGATTCAAACATAACAGTGGTCCTGGATCTTCTTTTGCAGTTCATCGTCTTTTTCCGTCTTGGTCGCTATAAGTTTGGCATGTGTCCTTGTCATATCACCACAGCTCCAGGATTTAGAGAGCAATTTATTTGCCATGCAAACCTTTTCTCAACAGTCACCAGGAGCGGCCGCTGTAAGCCATCACGACAAGATCTACATCCAATGATTGGGAAGAGTGAACACATCTAACTAACAAGGTGACCCCTTGAATCCACTAGTAGGTCTATAGGATCCCCTGTGCCCAATTGCATGTTATGGCATGTTATGTTATTTTGTTACCCTATCAGTGCCACAAACCCATAGTTTGTTTCCAATTGCAACCAAGATGATCTCAAAGTCTTCAAAACCACCCAGACACCACTAAAAAAGCACTATGTCAGCTCAAAACCACCTAAGTCCAAATATAGCCTAATTACGGGAAAAATACGTATTCTCGTACGCCAAAAAACGGGTCCATTACGCCAAAACACGTCCCTTTTACGGGTTCCCCTTTGATACGTATTTAATACGTAAATGTTACATAGAAAATACGTATTTCATGATTTTTCCAAAAAGTTATGAAATAGCATTAAAACAATATAAAACACTCTATAAAGGCAAGTGAAAGACCTTTGATGTTGAAGAGAACTTTCTTTCAAGTGTCCCAAAGTTAAATATGACATTCCAAAGGTTCTGTTTGACTATGTTTGACTCACCACTGCTTTTTTTCAATCCCATCAGGCTGCCACATGCCCACAGCCGACGTTCTCCTAAAGTCTTCCCAACCACCATGGTCCATACTATGGTTTGTAAATGGTTGTAAGTTGTAAGTTACTGTTGCAACTTGATTGTATCTGTCTAATTTTGGGAGGGTCAAGGTTCATCCACGGGTATGTTTGCACAAGAAGGAACAACCACAATCCCAAATCCATTAAATCATTCTTGCCCCAAAGGTCTTCAACACATTTAGGAATTAAAGCATGGTTGGGAAGAAGGGGCGCCAGTCTCCCAGATCAAGACCAGTCGCTCCCCGAAGATAAATGAACAGGGACCTCAACCCAGCATCGTCCCAAGGATCATCTTCCCAAGACATATGCTGGAAGATCCTCTTTGCAGAGACTTGTGCTCTGTCTGCTTCAGGGGGAAATGGTTCACAAGAAGCACAGAACCTATCATAGTATTTGGCGATCCGTAGAGCAAATCTTGGAGGATAGGTCCTCAGATCAGAGGAACATGACCATAGCCCAAATGCTTCTGTTCGTGCAGTCTTGGATGGGCCCCAAAGAAAATAACATATTAAATCAAGGAAAGAGAGTCTGTGTGGAGCGTAGGTGCTTTGTCCCAACAAATGCTTTTTTTCCTCGTTTATTGATGTAGGTCTTTGCACTCTTCCTACCATGTCTAGAAAGCTTGTTCATAGCCTCCCTGGACATGGTCCCCAAATCCAGGAGCTTCACAGCAGTAGCATTGGAAAAGGCAATGTGCCTCTTTGGTGTCAAGGCATTGTAGAGGCCCATCCACCAGGAGGCCGAATACACCTGGGCGGTAGTCTTGGACATGTCCAACCCTCTCACTCCCACCCTGTTGTTGCATGAACCTCAAACCACGAACCACTGTGAAGCAAGCAACGCACGGTGCTTTTGGGGGGGGTTCCTGTTCAAACCCATTCCCTTGTGGGCACCTTTGGGAGCAAGCGCCACAAGTGTCGCGTACGGGGATGGTAAAGGATGAGGCTTGTCCGTGGCTGCTCCAGCAACCAGCAACCACCCATGGCGGATATCACCATGATCAGCAAAGTCACCCTTAGATGCAGAACGCTTCCAAAAGATGCAAAGACATGGGTTGTCCATAGGTTGTATTATTGTTTGGCGGGGTTGTACAGGCCACCTTGATCCATGTCAAATCCCACAGGGTTGCAAACCAAGATCCCAACTGCTCTATCTTTGTTGAACCTTACTGAAGCGTGTGGGATCTTTGTTCACAAACAAGTACTCGAATGGCAATCAAAGGTCCGTGAGAGGAGTCCATTGCCCTCTTGCACCATTGCCACCCGCTCATCCCCCAAAGGCCGCCATGGTGTTCTCTTGTGGGTGCCAGAAGAAATAGTGACAAAGCTTCGACAAACAAGACCGATTACTGCCAGAAAGGATCCCATCTTTGCGTTCAAGACAGTCAACAATGCTAACCTTGGTAGAAAGTAGGGCAAATGCCAAATGTATTCCAAAAGGGAGTAGGACTGAAACAACGCCTTGTGTTTTTCCTCAAAAAAACATCAGTTATACAACATTTCACCAAAGGAACCCAAATCCAGCATCCGACAAGAGGTCCATGGCCGGGCTCACTTTACCCTCCTGACCTTCTTCATGAAAGCGGATATCGAAAGAAGCAGTTGGCACCTCACGCCACCGCATTACTTTTGAGACCCAAGCCTCTCCAGCAAAGAATTCAAGAAACCCATAGGCCTGTGCGCAGGGTTGCGCAAATGAAAGCCCAGACCATATAGTTATGTAATGTTTGGGGTGGTGAGCCTCCAAAACACACATCTCTAGACTCTAGGCTGGCCATGTTGTCGGAAGAAGTTGAGGCAGGATAAAGCCTGAAAGTCTGCTAGTCGCCAGCCTCTGAAAACGTGGAGACGTCCTGGTTGAGGGCCAGAAGAACCACGGCACCCAGCAAGAGCTGACAGGGATCAAACATGAAGTGCAAACAAAACACAGGAGGCACACATCCATGCACATTAAATAAAACAATCCAGCCTTTGGTGCTCCCATCAGGTGGAGGCGATTGATCACAGTATTAAGCTTCCCCAGTTTCACTGGGTCCATGGCCAAACCACCCACGCACCCACAAACAAGTAAGGAGACTTTGGGCAAAATCTGGCTGGGTGCTATGAAGTTTCAGTGCATTGCATTGCATCCTTTAAAGCTTTGCCACCCCCGAGTAGACATGCCAAGCGCACCGTTCCATCTGTCATTGATCAATCGCCTCGCCATCCATGAGGTGCCTCAGACCGGGCAGCAGCAGCGCTGGCATTGTTGAGGCAAGGAGGGTTCCTAGGTTGGAAACGGCGTCACAGTCACCGGCAGACTTTGAAACCCCTTCCAGCCAGAGCTGCAATCTAGCACCTGCGCTACCCTTCACTAGAAAGCATTGGTGTTTAGAAACACCATTCCGATAGATTGGTTCACGGGGTTTTTGTAGACCCATTTCAAGACAATTGCATTGCGCCACCTGAAATGTCATTTTGGAATCATCCAATATGTGAATACCAACATTTGTAAAACCATCCCACAAAGGACAAAGGAATCATTGAGACTGGTAGAACGACTAAGAACCTTCAGGAATTTTTGGGGCCACAATTCTTGTACGAGCTCCCTTTAGCAATTGGAGCAAAACATGGAGACATCTAAGCACTCTCACGAGTAGGTGGAATTGTCCCTATCTTCACCATCAAGTCCACATACAATGAAGCAGCAGATGAAGCCTGTGCATCGATGTTGTGGTCGAGCACCGGCTCCCCTTTGGCAAACTGTTCACTCGCAAATGCCCAGAATGAGTTCTGGTCAGGGTGAAGGGGATTGACAAATTGGTATCAAAAAGGTCAAACGAAGGTACCTACAGAAACCAAGTGCACCCACGTATCCCAAACATAAATTCCTGAGTGTTCTTTAAAGGGGCTTGGTGGACCTCATACTCAGCAACCCCAAGAGTCCTCGTGGGCACTGTAGGCTTTGAGCTCGGGTTTGATGTAGGTCTCGAATGCCCTCCTCAGGGCTTCCCACTTCATCTTGCCATTCACGCTTTTTGGGCATGCTCTTCGAGCAAAGGTTGCCGCAACCGCTGAACGCTGCCTTTTAGGCTTTACTTCAGGGATTTCTGCGTCATCATCGGCTTCATTGTTCCCACTTGCTTTCATCTTCTCCTGTTCTTCAGGACCCTCCTTGCTGCTTGCTTGTCTTAGTCTTTTCCTCAACTTCCTTTCTGCAAGTGGCTGAGCAGAGCCTCCACTTTCCGCTTCCTTTGACAGGTTTTTGTTTTTTCCGCCCTTGGGCTTGGTTGCTTTTGGCTGTGACTCCATTCCTTCATCTTCAATGTCCTCCCGCCCACCCGTTGCCACCTTTGGCTCATCATCATTTCCATCCTTAATCTCTTCCTTGTTTGCTTTATTGTTTCTCCTTGTTTTCGTCTCCTGTCCATTTTCTGGCTTGTTTGGCTTTCTTGCTTTTCGCTTTCTTGTGTCCCCTTCCGGTGCAGCTTCATTTGTAGTTTCACCTCCAGAACCTGTCTTGCCCAAACCCACCTCTTCAACAGCGGGAGTCTTGGATTTCTCTTCTTCCGCCTTTTTTTCATGCACATCCTCAGGTCTCTTCGTTGGCTTCTCAGGCTCCTTTGTTTCCTCCACCTTTGTGCTCTCAATCGAGGCTGCCTTTCCATTCATCTTCACATCTTTGGGCCTTTCACTCGAAGCCACTTCCACCTCCTTGTCTTCATTAGTTTCTTCCTTTTTGGACTTCCGCGCCCTCTTGTTCATGCTTTGTGCTTTTGCCGCAGCACCTCCGGCCTCATCCTTTTTGTTGTCCTCCAAGGTGACAGGCGCTTTCTCTGCCTTTGCCTCTGTCTTGTCACAAACGATGCCCTTCACATTCTTCATATCATCCTTGCTTGCCTCCTCATCGATCGTATCTTCATGCTTGGTAGCATCGGCCTGAACTTGTCCATGGTTCTTTTCAGGCATCTCTTCCCCGCCTTCACCACCACCACAGCTTTCACCTTCAAGCTGCGATGTTTTCCTTTTTCCTGTTCGGGACTTGTTCTTCATATCATGATCCTCGTCATCCTCCTCATTTGCACTTTCCTTGTTGCTCTTTCCTTCACTTGCTTTGCGTGTTTTCTTCCCTTTGCCTCTTCCTTTGCCTTTGCCTCTGCCCCTACCCCTGCCACCATCCTTTCCCTCCTCAGCCTTCCCATTCTTCTCAGTTCCTTTTTCTTCTTCAGGGTCATCTGTCTTGAGAGCAAGCTGCTGACGTCGCAGAACCTGAAAGCAAACAGTTGTCAAGTTTAGAGAGGGTACACTCTTTATGGTATGGGGAAATCAAAACAAAACAGTAAAACACATCAATCACATACATGGTTGACAAGTAGCTGTTGGGGCCGATGGTATCTCTTCGATGTTCATCATTGCTTGATATCGATTCGCGAGCTCCTCGATCATGGGGTCGAATTGGGTATCAAAATCGTCTTCAGCATAAGCCAAGGCGGTCTTGTCAGAGGCTTGTTCGTGTTTGAGGGAATCTCGGGCTTGCCTGAGACACAAATTCAGATCTTAAAACAAACAACATTTCCACCAACAGGGTGCAAAGAAACACAAAAGCGAAGAAAAAGTATACAACTGGCGTATTGAAAACCAAGACACTTTGCCGTCCATGCTTTTTTCAATTTAGCAATTTGCTCCTTTAGCGCATCGATCCTAGCCTCTTTCCACCCCTTCTCTTGTTTGGTCTCTTCTTCTTCGCTAGCATTTTTCTCTGGGATCTTCTCATCACAAAGCGGTTCAGGAGAAGGAGTTTCATCAATTTCAATGACTTCATCCTCCACCAATGCATTCTGGGATGGCACGGTTTCAGATAGCTGGGATTCAAGTACCTGGGAATCCTCGTAGTCAAAAAGCGGTTGGGAATCAGGTGACACGGGACGCACTTTTGTTTCCTCCTCCACCTCCGCCAATTCCACTTTGTCCTCACTATCTTCTTGAGTGTCTGCTGCTTCCTGAGTTTCTGGATCCTCATTTTCCTCTTCCTCTTCCTCTTCAATTTCAACCTCACTCTCTTCTAGGTCCTCACCTGTTTCCTCAATATCCTCACAAACTGGCTCCTGAAGGGACATTTGGAAAATGAAGTAAAAAAAGGTAAGACCATGTGGACCATATAGATTGAAACCTATCGGGTTGAACCACACCAGAATCAGGTGTTTTTCAACAAAGGTGTCCTTCTCATCGGGATCGAACACCATGCTCAACAACCTTCGGAAGAGATAAGATCTGCAAAGCTGTTGGCGTTGCAACTTCCTCTCTTGACCAAGACAAGAAACTTCTTCATGGTTTTTGCTTCCTGTTTGATGTCCTTCTTGCTGGGGAGGCTGAGGCTCATGAGAGTGTACAATTTCATCATCCTTACACCCACCAAGATTCCAGAAAAAAAACACGCACATACATAAGAAAACAAAAACAATACACATAATGAACACTTCTTTGTCCCACCAGGATTCTCAGAGATGATGTGTGGAATTGTAAGCATGCTGACGTTACCCCCTTCGTCACGCAAGCGGCGAACCAAAACCCGAAGAACAGGAAAGTTCATTTCTGCATGGCGGACATCAATCTTCACGTGTTCATCCCATAGCTCTTTTCGCAGCAAGCATCGGTGCTCACGCATGTGGGCTCTAATTTCTTCACTCTCTTCCCATTCTTTCGCTACACCTTCTAAGGGTGAAGCTGACTGCATGCTTCAGTAAAGAAGCAGCTGGTAAGAGAAGACTTGACCTGATCCAAAATGCCTCTGGAGGTCGCAGGGGTGATTGTAGGACAAAGTTGTTTTTGAGAGTGTGGACACCCTCAAGTAAAAAAAACACTATTGGAACATGAATGCCCTCAAACTTAAACCCAATACACATCTATTATATTAGTTTGCTTGATTATGGGTGTGGGATAAGGTTGCTGGGCAATGTTCTGAACCCATTGGGTTCCCTTTGGTTGCCCTTGATCCTTCCACGGCTAGGCTTCCCACCTCTTGCTCTTCAAGATCTTGTCCACGTCGCCCCAAGAAAATGCTCGCTGAGCGTGCGGATGGCTGCTGGAAGTGTGGATGAGTGGAGGGATTAGAGTTGAATCCTTCTTTGAATGTCACCAATTTAAGTTGACCAAAGCTGATAATTCAAAATACGGGTCGATTGTCAGAATACGTCCCTTTCATGAAAAACCAGGTTTTCAGACCTTGGACCCATATTCTTGAAGAGACCTTCCAAAAGGAAGGACCTAGAGGCCCTAGGTATATATATGTCTTGCGCTGAGTGATTCAGGGACCTTCCAGAAAGAAGTGCGGTGAGCCGGAGTGACCAGTGAGTCAGCGGAACCACTGAAGACTTCACCATTTTCTAAGGCAAGAAGGCGCTGCAACCATCGGAGTCACCTGGCGCGTTTCGGAAGGATGAGGAAGTGACGGACCCCCTTTTCGTCGCACCCCACGAAGGTTTCCAGATGATTTCCCTTAAGCCTTGTTGCTGTTCGTGCTCTTGTGACTCTTGTGGTAGCTTGAGGCTGTCACCAGAAATGTCCTGTCTACCACATATGCAGCATGTTGTTCTTCAAATATCACATATAGTGCAGTACATTGAAGTACCAGGCCATGGCTACACCTAGGCGATTCTCTTCTCATACTTGACTCATACATTTCTTTTTTCTGGAGCCTTTGGTTGCAATGTGCCAGTTTGCAAGTCGCGGGTCTGCATCCTTCTGCCTGGCACTTGAGCAGCGTTCTAAATTCACCCTTTCTTTTTGGTCAGGGACCGGCGAAAAATAAGTGAACATAGTGATTTTAGCTGATGTTTGTAAGGTGTCCGTAAGGTTTGCCGTAAGGATGTGCAGACTTGAACGATGCCGGAAGGCTACCGGAAGCGACACTTGTTGATTTTGATTATGTTTCCTTTCTTGTTTTGCAACAACATTTCATATGTGACCATAGTGGACTTGCATACCTTCGCCGTAAGCACAACGTAAGAATAGCCATGCATACATGTGTCACCGTAAGCAAAACATAGAAAAAACGTAAGCTTTGCGTAAGGCCTACCGTAAGGTTTGATTTCTCTGCAAGAAAAGACAACACAATTTTGAACACCGCTCACTTGAACTGGAGTTGACTGACATACAATGGGCCAACATAGGGCAAACCCCCAGGCCGCCTGGGGGATGGAGCACATATTCTCAGCCAAGTTGCACGAGGTCGTCGGTCGTGAAGCACATGCGTTTGGGAGACCTACACCCGGCAAGATGAACATGGAACCTGAAAATGGACCTTTGCAAGACCATTTTCCTCTACAACCCGACGTGGTTTTTAGGTTCCATGTTAAGGGGAAGCTGCCAAGCCGGGTGTCGCACTCCAGGTGACATGTTTGATGTCCACGGACTATCAAAAAGCAGCTACTTCCCTTGGAAGTTGGAGGGTTGCTTCCAACCTGGTGGGCATGCATGATACGGTGCAGACATGAATTTCATACACCGTGGATTGGTCCTAACATCACCCAAACTCCACATTCACATATAAAGCTGCACTTCGCAAAGTACTCGGCACCCCTTCTGTTTGGAGGCGGAAGCCAGCTTCCTGCGGAAGCGACGCCTAATCGCCTCACGGATCCTCGCAGTGTAAATCACCACAACCGTGACCTCCCCACCACCACCCAGCCAAAACAAAAAAACAAAAAAACAACACCACCGGAAAACCGTCCCCTCACCAACCGCGCCCTTCTTCTTTCCACCGGCGCTCCTTCTTCCGTCGCGGGTCGGCGAAACGGTCCCGAGGAAGTTGGAAGACGGTTTTCAAGACTTGGGCCGAAGCGCCTCCACCGACTCGTCGCCGTGCTGCAGCGCGCCGCTGCTGGTGGATCGCAGTGAAGACGGAATCCTCGCGGCTCGGTGGGAAGATGGATCCGGATGGCGTCGTGGGCAGCGGCGCGTTCAAAAGGGCAGCGGCACAGGAGATAGTATAGGATGAACTAGGTCAATTTGGATCCAGGAGCTTTTGTTCTTCCAAGTAGGTATATATTTGGATTTTGGATGAAGGAATCGTCTGGCATTTTCTCATTCCAAACACTCCACGTATGGTCTAAAAATGGCCTAGATTGGGGTGATTGGAAAGGAATTCGATGCGCGGCGTGATCTGGGTATCGTGCAGCATCAGGAGAATCATTTCACACCAACCTGGACTAATCATCCTGCTTGGACCGTTACTTGGGATGATGGGAAACAACTAAGTAGCATTCTGAAGAAGGCGAGTTGGAACCACCACCAACCAGTGGTTTTTCATTGACTCTACACCAAATACTGGCCCTGCACTCCTGAAGACTGGAGCCCGGAAATCCGGGCGCAGGTGGAGTTCCTGGAGAGTCTGGGCGTGGAGCGGGGATGTGCATGTGAAGTTCAGGACTTTCAAGGTCGAGACAAAGCTACCTAAGTCCTGGGAAGTGTATGTGTGTCACCTCCCGTTTCCGGACACTCTGGCTACTGCCTCCGGGATGGACACAGAGATGGTGTGTGTCTCTTCTTGTCCTTTAACGGGTTCTTTTAGGACACCATGGGAAGTTCTGTTTGGGGGGAGGGCTGATTTCAACTGAAGCAGGGACCATGCAAGAATGAGTAGGTCAGAAGAAATGAAACCACATGAACCCACATGACTTATGATGGCCTATGCCAACTGATATGCTGACAAAACATGATAAACCTGCTTTGACTTGTGCTGTTTGGATTGCAATGGACGTTCCTTTTCAATTGCAATGGTTGCATGGACTCATGAGCATTCACCACTTGAGGTCACGCTGCTGTTATACCTGCATCGTCTTCCAATTATGCAGAATGTGTTCCTTTTGATCCAGCAGGAATTCTGCTATAGTTGGAAGATCCAGGTATTTATTAGTCTTGTTGTTCGACGAACTTTTTAACTCAAACCCAATAAATGTCGACTCTTAATAAATCATCCCCTGCCAGGCCTGAAAAGTTCTTACAATTCCATTTGTTCGATTATATATATATATATACGATATTTATCTATTTTTGTATAATAAGTATATATACATACATTTGTATTAATAACATGTCTATACTATATGCAACACAGCGTCGTCTGACACCTCGTTGCTGGGAGAGAGAGGCACTTCCCCCGTCGCATCGCCGGCGTTCGCCGGACCTAGGAAGGTCAACAAGAAGCTCGCCAGGACCAGTGACCGGGCAGCAGGTGACCGGCGAAGCGAAGGAAGGTCTGGCGAAGTGCCATGAGCCCAGACCCTATGCATGGAAGATTTACATCGATTTGGAGTGTGTGTTTTTTCCTCCAAGGGATCAACGTAGTGCCAGTCCCCGTAGAGAGTGTGGAGATCAGATTCGAGCAAGCTTTTGAGCGAATCCTTGGAGACAACGTGGATGATTAGCAGGGCAAATCCGGTCTAGCCAAATCGTTGCAGTTGTAGTATGACCCTTCAGACGGGGGGTTCTCCGAAGACTTGAAACTTCCCATCACATATTTCAATGGACTTTAGCTTCCCATTGCTATCCAGGGTTCGGGGTGGGTGGGTGGGTGGGTGGGGTGGCAATGAGCGTCCGTGTTCATGTGCAGGTTTTTTGGCTCCATGAGGGAGTTGCCGTGTTCTTTGTTAGTTTCTTAGTGTTTAGTTCTGTTGTTGCGTTTGTCGGGTAGGTCACACGAGTTTTCTTTTCCCGGTCCCTTGTTACCGTTTTTCCAGGTTGACTGTTTGTACTGAGACTCTTTGATTGATTTGGGGAGTCATTGCAGGCATCAGGCTTTAGGTCAAGTGTCTTTGGACATAGTGTTGGATCCGGATCGTTTTCCCTTGGGTCTCGCATGTCTGGAGCACTTTCATGCAATGTTGTTTCGTTCATGGCTGACAATGTGGTCACAATATGTAAGTAAAAGATAGATTTGTTCCCGTCTCTTCGTTGATTTTCTAAGAGACTGCTTCGTTGCCTCCTTGCCTCCATGCAAAGAACGGAAGCTGCTGTGAAGGAAGACAGGATCGACGTCCATTTTGTTTGATTGAGCCAACTAATCTCCTTTTTCAAAGGCAAAGGTGTACCTGTAGGACACCTGGATGCATCTCATTCGTTGCAGGACTGGAGATACACCGGCTCCACGCACACCGATTTGCTCCTCCAGCTCTATGGCTTCGATTCCTGTCGAATATGTTCCTGACAGCCCTTCCACCTTTGCCAAAAGTTTCTTCGCGAATTTAGTCATTGCCGTGAGCCCAGAGACGCCTTTAAGGCATGTGCCTTCAATTATCATGAGAAGACGTCGCGCCGGAACATTTTCTTTCTGTACTGTCGAATCGTCCTTCCGATGGCCAATTCCACTCGTGAACAGCTCCAAGATGACTTGGCCTTGAAATCGTCATCCAGCAGTGAGAGCTTTAGTGACATTTGCGGAGATGAATCCCCGCCGCACATGGAAGCAAAGGACACAGGAGTCTGACCTGCAGATAGGACCTATACAGACACGATGTGCGGGATTCCAATGTCAAGTGTGCAGAGCGCCATGCCATACCGTTGCAAGAACTGGGATCTCGGAATCTTCGGGTCAAGCACATTTGTGTCTTGATTCGTTTCTGCGGAACCCTCAGCCTGAATCTACGGACAATGATGTTGAAGTGAATTTGGACAAGTGGGGCCTGCGCCCTACCAAGCATGGTCGCTGTCCGGTTCATGGGCGCTCAGGCTGCCGGCAGAGAATGCTATTTCTTGTTTGTTTACAACTTTTTTAGACCCTGGCGTTCTCAAAGCCACTTCGGCAGGCAAAAATTTGGCATTCCGGTCGAACAGACTGATGTGTTCTTATTTTCGGACGGTCTGACTGTTTGTTCTTTGTGCTGCTGTTGCCTCTATCAGGTTGTTCTCTGTGGTTCGAGAAGAAGCATGTTTGGCTTCCGAATTAAGAAGCCGATGCAAGGGCACTGATTTCGAGCTTCTAGCATTTGCATCCAAGGCTCGAGCAAGAACATTTTGGCTTTTCAAACTGGTTGTCTCACAAACGCCCAAAAGCCGCAACCTCACCCCTTGGTAAGACAGCCGTCTCAAGGTTGCCCACCTCGCTTCAGCCGGTTTTCTAGGCTGAAGTACGCCTGGGCCCAAAAGCGAGCCCATTGTCTCACTTCTTCACCCATCACTTCTTTGGACCACCAACATAGTCTCTGGTTGCGGTCCCACTGCATATCCACGAACATTTCGGATCCAGGGGATTGCCGTAAGATGCCGGCCACTAGACGCAAATGTTTGGTGGCTTCGTCTTCCAAAGGACGCTCTAAGAAGCTTTCAGCTGAAGAAAACAAGGCCTTCCAAAAGGAAGGATTGAAATACACAGCTGCTGCTGCTGATGCCACGGTCTCCGGTGGATTGCGAGATTTGAATCAGGTGAACTATGTAGACGTGGCATCATGGACGTCGCTGCAATGCAGAAGCTTCTTGCAAGAACATTGGGGCGCTCAGTGATGCTGGGGTTGTCAGCAACCCATGAAAAGAACCTCTAGATGCGACAATGCCGCATTGAAATGTCAGACACAGTGGGGTGTTATCTTCATCCGTCTTTGACTTTACCCAGAGAAGCGTGGACGCCTTTGCGCTTGCAAGAACGCAGACATTGTTCTAGAAACAATGGTGCGCCTAGTTCTATGTCTTTACTTGCATGCACTGCGCCGTTCCACGCATGTTCACCTGCGTCATCCGAGGAATGGTGTGTTCGACTAATTACCAGAATTTTCTCCGGACGTGCTGGCTGGTTGGTGTGAAGACTCCGAAAGTGGCTAAAGGGTGTTCGTCGGGGCCCGAAAGTTTTCTGGAAACCACGGAAAAATTTCCCAGAAGCTCAGACCAGGCAAAAAAAGAACACGTTGCAGCGGTAGACGGGAGCAAGGCATTGCACAAAGCAGCTCAGCAGGCGGGCGTTCCTTCCCTGCCGGGCGTGTCGCACATGCATTTGAGGTGGACCCCCCTGAGTTCTATCGCCAAAACCGGTTTAGACGCAACCACGCGGTCTTTGTGTCGAAGCCTGGCAAAGGTGAAGCGAGACTGCTTCATCCTGGAAGGGGGTGATAACTGCGCTGAAGCTGTGGCTGGGATTTGCAAGAGAGAGTGATCTACGCAGATGCTAAAGACCCCGTAGAACATCGCAATCTTTTGGCAATGCGCCAATGCGCTACCTCAACGAAGGTCCTGGGTTATTGCGAGTTTTGAGGGCACTGAAGGTGCACAAGGAACGGTTGCAAGTTCTCAGCGTTAATCCTCGAGATTCCTTCGCACAAGCGTTGTGGAATCTGTGAATGAGCTCGTCGCTGAGAAAGTAGAAAAAAGGGCTGACTCACAAAGGCGCTGATGTTGAGGAGGGTCAGAAAACACTGCCTTTGCCAATGCAAAATAAGGACGTCTACTCTTCATTGCGTTCCACAGGTCAAAACAACAAGGGTCCGGATCATGTTCTGAAAGGCACGTTTGTAATTTGGAACGGAAAACTATGGGGGAACCCAGTTCCTGCTACATTGCATCTGCTTGGAATTGCGTTTTTTTTCAAAAATCCGCCTTGACTGGAAGTACAAAATGTTTGCAACAACACAGAGATGTCATGCTCTCCCCCAGCAGGCCCCGGGTTCAGGAGTCTTTCTACACCACTGAATGTTGAAATCTGTCCGGGAACCCCTCGTCTGCAGCGTGTGATGTTGTATGATATTTTTATGGTTTTTTGATGGTTCTATTGAACATACACGGCCAAGAACGAGCGTCATTCCATTCGAACGTGACGTGGTCGGTGGTGTACTTGGCACATCGGTCGGTTCGCGGTTCGTGGAGTACCCGGACTCCCGCCGTCCCAGGTGATGCGGTCACACGGGTCATGGTCACCGCGTTCCAGGCGCGGACGTGCCGCGTGACGGGGACGGCGGGGGGGCACCACGTCCACCTCTTGGGAGTCAACGACCAAAGAACTGTTTCTTAAAGGGGGATGTCGTTGACTTCAGGGGGTGTCCCTTCAGTTGTGTTTTTGGACCTGACTGGACTTTTGGGGGCAGGAATGCTTAACCAGCCTTCAACTTCGTTTTGGACAATGGATTTCCCACTCAACAAGCACAGCTGGAACAAGGTTGCTATTTTCGAGGGAAGCGGATCAGGGGTTAGGGGGTCACACACACGCAAGGATTTGGAACAGGTCATGGCCGGCCATGCAAACTGTTGATCCCTCCCTTTTGGACAAAGCGTCACCATTCCGGAACATTTGCATCTTCCAAAAGAAATGTCATCTAACACTCTTGGACACGACCACCTCTCCATCTGACCACTGCCACCGCCCTGCCTGACCCCATCCACTCCACCACCACCCCCATCCCACCGCTCAGCCGACCAACCAAGACCCACCGGCCTCCTCTCCCATCCGAACCGCTGCGCGACCTCCGGCCACGAGCTCCGGGCCTCGTTCCACCGACCGCGTCGCGTTCCACCCACCTCTCGAGGTTTCGGAGACCTTGGGCCGCAGCGGGTCGCATGCCTCCACGGTGTGGACGCGCTGCGAGCGCTTGCTGCGCGAGAAGAGCGACGCTGAGAGCCTGGGCCTGATTCCGGTGCGTGTCCGGTGCCGAGAGATCGGTGGGAGGTGGAAAGTTCAAGCTGGAGCTGGGTTGATCGAAGCCTGGTTTAGTTTTGGGGTTTGTTTGGGGTTTTCTTCAGGTTGCAGTTTTGATGTTTGATCCAACATTTTTGGTTTGGACCTGCAAGAATTCAATGGTTTTGCTTTCAACTGTTTTGCCATCGGGACCGCATGTCCAGAGCAAAATTGGCATGAATCTCCGATGGGCAATCGGACAAGCCACTTTGCATCCAAGGAGAGGGGTCTTGCTGGGAAGCTTGATGCATGAGATCCAGGAGGGCAAGGCACAGTGTTGTGGACCGCAGCTCACTGGGAGATTTTTGGGGTCCTGGGGGCGCTTGCTGAGGGCGCGTGTTGGGTAGCAAAGCTGCCGATGTTGAGTATTTCTGCATGGGTCGAGTACCTATGTTTTCACTTAGGGATGTAATTGAAGTGAGCCAAGTGTTTCTTGGAGAGGCAACCCTACTTAGGCGAATGTTACATGGGCTTGTGAGTTTGGACATTGGTGCTTCATGATGAAGCATTTGGGGAGTGGAACTATTTACGTTCTCGTTGGAGCCAGATGTCAGGCCCTTCAGAGCCTCAGACAGGAGTCTGGGTAGTAACAGGTGCATCGCTACTAGTTGCTAGAAGCTACGAATGTAGCTCCTGGCATTTTCTACTAGCAACAAGGACGCCAAACAGTAGCGCATCGCTACGTTCGTAGCGAATAGCGGTCAAGAGGCCTGTCCCATGGAGTCGTTGGCTTTCACCCCGCTGACGAGTCTCACCCGCCCGGGCCGGGCTCGCCGCCGCTGACCGTCAGGCGAGGAAGAACAGCATCGGTGCGGGCACGTCGCGTGTCCGCTCGGTGCTGTTCAAGGCGGTGTGCGATTGGCTTGCTGTGGCACCCTGCAGCTTGCAACGCCAGGAGCCCGCGAAGCAGGTAGCAGTATGTAGCAGATCTTGACCGTTCGGAGGAACAAAGCGTGGATGGATGTGTTAGCTTGACCCTTTTGGCACTACAGCCGATGAACAATGATGGATGTCCCGGTCCCTATGTAGAAGAAACATTTTCCAATTACAATAATTACAGAATTGTACATTCTGTGCGGGTTTGGAGCTTATAAGCTGGAGTAGTAAGCTGGAATGCGTCAGGTTCCCCTGTTCCAGGGAAGAGTGAATAAAACATGCCCAGACATGGATTGAACATGTCTTCTTTTTGAAGACGATGATTCCCTAGAAACAGGACGTTGTCCACTTGGAGGGGTCATCAACCGCCGTGTTTATACCAAGATGTGATCCATCCAGTTTCCCCGCTCCAGGAGAACATGGTCACGTGGAACACAGCAGCCGGGTGAAATGGGGAACAATTGGGTCTTGGCGTGTGAAGGCCAGGAGAGAGATTCCCTGGCCTTCCAAGACCATTTTACAAGAAGGGTTCTAAATTCCTCTTGGTCGGTAAAGAGTATATAGATTGTTGGAATCCTGGGGTCAAGCAAGCTGTATAGATACATAGAACAAAATACTCAGTCGAGGCGGCATTTGTAGAGGAAAGGATTCGTGTTGAGAGTGTTCCCACCTTGGCTTTCATATTTTGTGATAGATCGCGGCATCCATTTTTGATCTCTGGGAATCGCACAATTGAAGAGTTTGTACACAGACTCTTCAACTTCCAGCGCTAGGGGCGGCAGGGGGTACGAACATGTGCGCAGACCACTCAGGTTTTGAGAAATCACATCCCATCATCGATAATCAAATGCCAGCTTCTTCAAACAAGGAAAGATGGCAGAGAAGCAGGGGTTTGGAGGAGCGATTGAATGTGGGTTGCGTGTCAAAAAGTGTATCCGATGCTACTTCTTCATCGTCCTAATTTACTTTTTTCTCTTAGATTCTTGTGGGCCGTGGCTTTAACCGGTTCACTAACTCATTGAATGGTTGCAGGTTTTGTGCCAATACACCAACATAATACTGGTACCCCGACACTCCATGTATGGCATATGTAGCCTATTGTAGCCTGTTCTTGATTTCAAGGGCCTACCTTTCAGAAGGCAATGAGACTCTATCAGACTCTATCAGGCACCTATACCCCTAGGCCTTAGGACCGAACCGCCCAAACGGAGCGCCCATGGCTTCGTCAGCTCTCGACACGGAGAGCTGCCGAGGTCCAGGTCGACGGAGACCATTACGTGGTCGATGTGATTTTCGAGCCCGGCGCTCTTTACGAGGAAGGATCAGGCCCGTGGCGTTTGAAGGGTGTGGTATCAGGCCCGTCGGACCCTGAAGCTTGAGAATACCCAGACGCTCCATGTATGGAATATATGCCTACAAGTATGCCTACATTGACCCCCCCAAACCACCCCAATGTAGGCATATATGGCAGTCCCATGGAGCTCCTGGGATACGTTTGTTGAGATAAACTAAGAGAAGATATGTTGAGAGGTTGAGATGCAGTAGAAAAGACACCAGGAGGTGTGGTCTTGAAGCCCGAGCTGGCTCAAAAGACCTTTGGACCATGGCTATCCGTCGGGCAAGTCGGCTGAGTAGCCCTGTGAATGTTGGTGCCCCTATACTAGCCTTCCATTCGACCATGTAAAACATCAATGGTTGACCTGGTTTTGGAATGTAAACGTCCTATGAAAACAATGGTTGTTCGGGATTCAGGCTATCAAAAGAATGGTGGTTGGAATCCTGGACATTTCATGCACTGGAGAAGCGGCCCACGGCATTGCGCCCTTCTTACAGGCACCCTGTTGCAAGAATCCTTGACTTCGCTACTCCTCGACTCGTTTTGTCTTTTCCGGTTGCACTCTCACGGACCGGCGGACCGGGGAGCCTGGCCTTTGACCAGGCGCCTGGCCCATGTCCTTCATGGAAAGATCCAAGCAAAGTGGCCCAGACCGACATGCTTGGGGGAAGTGTTTTTGGAGGTCACGACATAAAATAACATGATCGTTGGGGGTTCAATCAATGTGACTTCATTTCATGGTGTGAGATGAGATGAGATGCTGCTAGTTTTTGGGGTTGCCTCGTGCCACCCGCCGAAGATGTTTGAATAGACCTGAAGCTCTAAGTACCACAGCAAATGGGTCCAAGTACTTGTCCTATTTTGTAGGGTGCTTTGAAGGGCCCAGATACATTCTTAAAGAACCTCCATACCAAGATCGGCAGGCAAAGCTGGCGAATACCTGCGGCGCTTGGAGAGCGAGGGGGAGGATGTGCCACGCGGGGCTGTGAGGACGGGAGCTGAGACTCCGAGGGGGACGGGAGCGGACGTGGAATGACGTGATGTCTCTCGATATAGAGTTGTTATCCTGGTGTGTGGTTCTGCTTGGGGTGATGTTAAAATTTTGTATACATTTATATTATGAAATCCATTGAAATCCCCTTCTGGTGACTAGTCACTAGTTATTTTGTATATTTTTCCAGGTGCCTGGACAGCAAGTGTCCCAGTGATGTTTCAAGCGAAGCAGGTGAACATGGAAGCCGTTGGCACACATCTCCAAACTGTTGGCACACACCACAACCTTTAATGACATATGTTTCCGTTTTTGCAGGGGGGTGACCTGTAAGTGAACTTCAGGAGCCAAGTGAAGGACCCCGTGTCTTCAGGATTCTTCAGGATTCTCGTCACTTGCCCCGTCCCACCATCCATTTGTGTGCTTCTTGCCCAGATCAAAGCACACTCGTTCGGTCACTCTCATTTGTCCCATTACCAGTAACAGTCAGCCAAATATGACTAAAATGTGAAGACAAATATGTGGGAAAGGACTTGAACTAAGCATCATCATGCAGTGTCACTGTGTACTTTCATGTCATTTTGATATGCCCAACTCTCCTCCTTTTTCCAGCCCAATGGCCCACGGCCGCCACGTGGCCGGAGGCCCGGGGCCGCCGCGATTCCGTCGCTGCAACCGAACCTCGGAGGGCTCATGCTGCGACCCAGCTGGCGACTCGGCGCCAAGCTGGAGGTCATGAGGTCATGAGGTCAGAAGCCACAAGAACAACATCAAGTTCATGAAGCTATAGTAGCTGCTAGCTTTTTTGGTGTGGAGGCAGCATAACTTGACTCGATGCAGGTGAGTCTCGGAAAATGGGGTGCAAACTCATGTGTTCTAACATTGGTCAGACAACAGTGAGGCTGCAACAGTGAGGACAAGCGGATGTTCAGTTGGAATCAAGAAGGTGAGGCACGACAACGACGTCGAGTCTGAAAAAGACCGTACCCTGACCGGCTGAGCAGGTTTGGAAGCCATCCAAACTGGAATGACCCTTCACTACCGGATCCCTTTCCCAAAAATTCCTTACTCACCAGTCAGCTAAATGCTGCTGGTTGGTGGTATCTTCTTGGAACCCTCCGACCTTGTCGACCGGTCGACCGAGGCACGTGGAGCCCTGGGAGATCGACTTCGATCGCCGCGACCGCGCGGGGCGCGGCGGCTTCGGCGAGGTCTTCCAGGGCACCTGGGCGGGGCAGCCGGTGGCGGTCAAGGAGGCGCGGGTCGCGTCGCGATGGCGCGGGTGGGGGCGTGGAGAAGCGAGGAGAAGCGTGGAGATCCTTGAGATGTCTTGTTGGGTCAGAGGATGCAGATCACCACAAGGTCTTTCATCATCCACTGAGGCAAGCAGTGCTTGGAGGGAGTGTTTTCCTCATAAACTGCCCAACTCTTGAATTTCGCCCCACCGCGCAGGTGCGAGATGCCAGCCCCACTGATGCCGATGTGCCTTTCCTCAGCGGTTCGGTATGACATGCGTGGAGACCAGGCAACTCCAAGCGATGGGATGTGCTACACCTGAAAAAGACACTCCTTGGTATCGGAGGTGGAAGGCAAGGCCCCGAAAGGAAGACCATCCGAGTACTGAGGTGGTGCCATCCACGTAACCATGATGATTCCAGGCAGAGAATATTACACAAGGTCGAACTTCAAGTTCACTCTATACTCTAAACTCTAAACGTTACTGCAGGGGATATTGACAGCAACATCATTGGCTATATTCTCACCCTAGGGATCCAAGTACCTTCTCAGAAGGTACTTGGGCCCTCCAAGCCAACATAAATAGTCTCCAATCACCTTCTGAGAAGGTATTTGGATCCCTAGAGTTCAGTTGAGCTTCAACCGACCGAGCCAGAGGGTTCATCCCCGAGATGTTTGTGCACACATGTGCATAGCCATGCTGGATGCTCCTTATCGCGGTTTAGGTGCAGGATGGTGTAGGAAAAACGGGGGGGTCCGGTTTCATTGCTTGCGCTCCCCTTACCGATCCTCAAAGCACCTCACGGTCCAAACGACAAAGGCAGTTGTTCTGGTTACATGGCGGTGGATAAGCCCTGTTTTCTTGCATCGCTGACACCACGGGGAGGCATTGATATCTCCCGAAGTGGGATTGGTCGAGTACTGCACTTCCAGTGCAAGTGGTATGCTTTGCCGAATCTTGTGATCAAAACAAGTGGCTTGTTTGGGCTTCCACTTGAACTGGCTGTTGGACCACCCTGTGATCTTCCTTTTCCTTTTGGTGGTGCTGCTGAGCTCGCTGCTGATGCAGCACCTTCTTTTCCTTCTCTTTTTTTTCTCATTTCTTTGAGCTTTTCTTGTAATTCAGCGCAGCTGCCTTTGGAGGAACATTCCAATCCGACGGTTGGACAACATTGGCCGGGAGTTGACATGGACGTCCCCATACCATCACTTGGGGCGACATGTGGCGACGCTGAGTTGAGAGGCTCTTAGGGTTGTGTTGGAGCGAGAGACACTGGAGGCTGAGTTGGATGTGTAGTCCCTTGAGGCACTGGAGGCTGAGTTGGCATAGGTAGTCCGGCGGGCCTAGGCACCTCTTGGATCTCTTCACCCTCTTTATTCATGTGTTCCTTCTTCTTGAACTTCCTCAATCTCGCTCCCTCTTGAACTGGCGTACTGGGCAGACTTATCATCATCACAAAAGTGGTGTAGGCGGCAATCATTATCCACTCGTTGTTCCACCATCCATCTTTTTCTCCTTTTGTGGCTGAGACGGTAGCTGCCATCAGGATCAGCTTCAAGATCATAATCATAGCAGCTTGATTCATGGTGGGTCGCTCATTTTTCCTTTGGTGTTCATCCTTCTCTTCATGTTCTTTCGCTTTTGTGCTTCCCAAACCCATCTTCCACTTCAGGTTTTCAAGTCTGGTGGAAGACACCGCCAGCATGCCTTCGCCTGGGACATGTGTGATTGACCCGCATGCCTTCGCCTGGGACATGTGTGATTGACCCCTGCTCACCCTGGAGGACCTGTTGCGCAAAACAAGACCTCATCCTCAGGTGTAGATGGCTGCTACAGGCTAGACCTTGTGACGCATGCAAAGTGCAAAGGTCCTTTTCAAATAGCCAATGCCCATCTTGAGCCACCGCCCCAGGTGTGTGACTTCGTCTTGGAGATCTCGCTGCTTTCGCGTCTCTCGCACCCGAACCTTGGACGAAGGGGGTCGGTCTCGCGTCTTTCGTTGGAGAAAGGAATTGCGCACGGGGCCGAAGGGGGTTGACGGTGAAGACCATTTACTTGGGATTCAGTCGTGCCTTCTTGGAAGGTCTTGGACTCTTGGACCTTCCAAGAGATTATAACAGATTTTAACAGATTATATAGAACCTTGTCAGAGGGTATGTGGACCCCTAGGGACTCATATGGCCTACATATATATATATATATAACGGATTATAGCAGTGTCTCCAATCACCTTGTCAGAGAGTATGTGGACCTCTAGGGACTCATATGGCCTACATTTCTCGAGATAGGTCGGGACTTGTACTCGCACGGTGCATTTTGATGTAGGAACTGCCAGAAAAGAGTTTTTGGATTTGAGGCTCTGAAGGGGCATCATGTGGACGCAAGCACGTTGCCATGCTCGACGTCTTGGCGAACCCCTAAGTAGTGGTTGATGTATAATATAGGGACCCAAAAACCATTCTTGGCCATTTGAGAGCCACGAGTTCCAAGGGTGGTCATATACATATTACTGCATGGGATAGCAAATGGTTGCCAATGCATTTTGCCGCACATCTTGTTTGGGTTTCGATTCGTTCGCCCAAACCCTGTGGATCGCGCGGTTTTGGCCAAGTCGGTTTATTGCACAGTCCTGCGCCACAAACCTTGTGGTCCGGGTGATTTGCACAGCCGGACCCCCCCCCCACCCACCGCTCCGGGTAGGAAGCGCTCGGCAAGGAACATTGTGCGCTTCTGGCGCGGATGCGTTGACTTGAGAGGCCGGGAAATTCTCGAAAAGGTTGTGATTTTTACTGTGTATATATTTATGACCAGAAATCTTCTAGATTCCATAGACCCCATTGTAATGTTCCAGGCGCACCTTTCTTGCCAAAAAACCAATTGTTCCAGATTTTGTACTACCTGAGCGCAGTGTGTACACACCAGGATATCCATTATTTTTTGCAAAACATTGCCTGGAGTTGATTGATCAATCCACTTTTACGATATAAAATGTTTGGATGTTTGGTTGTTGGACCGTGACTCTTGGTGGCTCCATGGTTTTGAGGCGCAGAACACTAGTATGCTGCGAGTGTCGAAGCCTTGGTTCTGCTAATTGCATTCCCTTCCCCGGTTTTCTCCTCAAGAATGATTTGTTCTTTGCCCAGGAGAGAACGAATTCCCCAATGAAAAAGAGTCAACATGAGTCAACTGTGACCCTACTTACCTATCTCCACCTTTGCCTTTGAGTGCGAGTATTGCATGTTCTCGAGGATACGCTTTGAGAACCAACCTGCTATCAGCACCCTGGTAGCAACACCCTGGCACACAATAACATATACAATAGCACTCAGTAGTGAACTGCATCACAAAAGACAGCAGAAACGCACTCAACTGATCTGTTTTTGTTCCACCCAGAGGCTCATGGACCCTCAAACTGTTACATGTTGGTTCGGTCCAAAGCCCTGGCTGTGAGGGTCCAAACCCTAGCGAACCGAAGCTTTCTGCCACTGAGCCAAACTGGGCAGTGTCTTTTTGGGCCGTCCTTCCAGGACCGGTTCTTAGCAACCGATCTGTTCTTGGAAACGGTTCTGTTCTTGTCTTGGAGCCCCACTTCTGGCCTCACTGCTGTGGCACGTAACTCGCAGGAAGATCTGCTTGGATGTCCCAAGGGGGGCGCGCAGCGGCTTGGAGGATCATGTCATCAGGCCGATCCCAACACCATTCAAAAGCATCAAGAATCCCGATGTTGTTCTGACCCTTGCTAGACCCAACATCGGGTTTTGGGTATCAATAGTATCAATGACCTCTATACCTTTCGATCATCTTGGATCTTCGAACCACATTCCATCTCCAACACCCCAACATCCCGATCCGGGCGTGACATTCGCCCGCCCCTTAAGTCGGACCCCGCGACCTGGCGAGGTGGTCATCGCACCCTTCTGTTGGTCACCGAGTGGATGGACCGCGGCGTCTTATCGCAGCTCCTACACGAGTCACAGGAGCAGCAGTGGATGGACCGTGGGTCAGTGCACGTCGTCGCGCATGGAGTGACAAGGTATCATGTTTGGAAGATGCCCAGACACTCCACGGGATTGCCACATATGCCGATCAGTAGCAGACATAGCCATGACCCCAGCTTCCAAGACCATGTCAATGATGGTTTAGCCGGTTTTGTAGTCTAATCAAAATTTATCAATAGTGGTTGGAACCCTACGGGTGCCATACCATACCCAAGTTGTGATGGTTGATGTTCAGGGTTCGGGTACTGGATCTGATGCCGACATGTTTGAAGCCCCACTTCGGCAGAGTTTCTACCCCAAGCGATCCCAACGCCTAGCGAAGGGCCCACGTGCTGTGCACGTAGGAGGTCCACCTGTGCATGAAGTCTGAAGTTCGTCGCAAAATCAGCCTCTACAAAGAAGGCAACAGACAAAGAACATGGCAAAGTACATATATATATATATGATTATATATTAGCTAGTAATATTATATATAATATATGTTAGGACCTGGGTGGGCCTCTTTGTCTGTTCTGTGACAAGAGGATCCTGGCGCTTTTTTATGTAGTAAATTATAGTCATATACTGTCGTATATTTAAATTATTGTAGTTGGCATACATATATGTATATAACCCCACAAAGACATGGTATCGAGGATGTTGGGCCATTCTCGACCTTCGACTCCCCAAACTCCTCCGAGTTTCCCTCTAGGAGCCTAGCCTCAGCGTGGCCTCCGCCCAAGTCTTGGCCACGGGCATCGCCCGCGGGGTGCGCCGTCGGCCTAGCCTCGCCGCGCCGAGAAACGCGCCGTTTCGTTTCGGGCCAAAGAGGGCGGTCGAGTCTCTAGGGTTCTGGATTTGTGAACGCCTCCCTTGTGGCCTATTTTGGAGGCAGGGGCAAGTCAGAGTTTTGTGTCGTTTGGTGTGTGTGGCACCTAGAAGGCCTCACTCTCAAAGTTGAAGACTAGGTGTTTGGGGATTCAGAGCTTTCCTGTTTACAATGTGTTTAAATGGTTGAAGGCTCCTCAAAAATGCAGGAGGTTCCGACCAGCCTCAGTAAGAGGACCATATTCGCCTCATATAAATGTAACGTTCTTAGTCAAGAACTTCTGGACAGATCAAAGCTTGCTTAAAATTAACGTGCTGTGAAGCACGTGTGGCCTGGACAGCTATGTATTGCAGGCTGAGAGGCTACTACGATCTTCTAAACAACATCTCATGATTGCAGATGATCAACTGCAAGGAGCACAGCTTTTTGCAGCTGTTGCCAACGCACATTTTGCGCCCCCAACACTAAGACGGCTAAGAAAGAAGACACCTTGCTTGCAACAAAACAGTCTCCACTCTCCAAAACGCTCCCCAAGAAAACCCAAAACAGAAAGAGGCGATATCTCAAGATACTTCGATCCGCTTGTTTAACATGTCACGAAAGGTAGCCCGCCAGGCGATACCTTGAGTTTGTCTTGGGAAGCAAGTGTGGGCTCCTCCGGATCTAATAGTTGATATAGTTCAATTCAACCCCCCCCGGCACCGCTCCGTCCCGAAGTGGATCACCTCGATGTGGGTCATTTGGTTTGCGAGCGTTGCGCAACGTGGGCCGCGAGTCAACAAAAGCTCGGCCCAACGGCGGCTCAGATCTGGTTTCTCGCGGTGCCTCCACTGCGACAGCTCGAATCTGCTGTTGCGACAACAGCAAGTAGCTCTGAAACCATGTTTCACACCAACCACCGTTTACATCAAACCACGTTTTATACCACTGCTCATCTCCTGCTCCGAATAGCTGACAATGCATGTTTTACATGCGTCTATTCCCTTCCCGCTGTCCTACCTTTCGTGTTTGCCTCTTCTCAAGTATACCAACAACAGCAAGCAACCCCAGTAGTGAAGCCCAAGTCCATGTCGGACCAGCCGCATCGGACCAGCCCATCCATGTAAACCGAACAGCGCTTTACACCCGAGACTTGTTGTCCCGCCCAAAATGCCGAATCTGGATGAATCAATCCCTGTAACATGGACTTGATTGGATTTGTACAACGCAAAACCTCTTCAGGCTTGTGGTGGTTGGACAAATAATCAGACCTTCTGGCATACGATCTGGCGATATATATCAAGATCTCAAGAGTGCCATCTTTGGTGAAACTGACTCTTTGGCCCGAAAAAAGGCGCCGAAGTGACCAGCCTCACGCTGGGAGCCACGCCCGATGCGCCGCAGGTGGCCTACTTACACCACGCAACTTGGGCCCAGATCAGCTGGGGGCTTCTGGGGGGGGTGAAAGCCTAGCAAGACAGGAAGGTATTTTAAATTGTTCAACCTCGTGAAAGCCACGTCGTAGAACATCATCATGTTCGACTGCCTGAGGTATTTCATGTGAATGCATATGATGTGTTCAAGTTCCATGCGGCTTGGAGGATTTCAGAAATTGACCTTGGCTTAATTGATCTCAGAGGTTCACTTTTTAGGCACATGCAGTGGACACCAGGAATGCATCGGACACATGCATCAGTCGCGGCAAGCTTTCCCGACTGGGAAGACCAGGAGATACTCGGCGCGATGCGCACCGGAAATCCCACACGAGTTCTTTGCGAACAGGTCTTGGTCGGAAGACCATGTTCCCTTTGTGGCTTGGTTGGGAACATGTTTTGTTGGGTTTGTTGTTATACTTAGTTTGTTAACCGTGTGCATATAGATACCCAAAGATATGCGTGTTGTTCCAAGGATTTTGCCTTTCTGAGGTTGTAACTTGGTATGAATGAGGGAAGGTCTAGCGTTTGACAAGGTTGGGGACATGGAGTGCCACTTCAATGCTTAGGACGTTATTTGCGTGGCCCTGAGAAGGCAAGACCATTTGCTATTCCAAATGCACCTCCTTCATGGGTCCCGGGGGGCATGTGGGGACCTGGCTGCCAGCGTTGCTGGATCCATGTGTTTCATTGCAACCCCAGTTGGACTACCCTGACTAGCCGGGTTCCAAAGGTGAAGGGCTGAAGCGATTGTTTCTTTTTTTCCCCGGGCCAAGTTAAGGCTCAAGAGCAGAGAAATCCATGAAGACTCTGGGCTCCAGAAGGGTCCGTCGACATCCTGAGGTCCTTGCACCAACCAAACCCTGGTCTAGCTAAAACATGTATTATATATATACGCATATGCAGCACAAAACCTCGCACAACAAGAGCCACAACCAAAAAAAACAAACACAAACACTAACACAAAAAACTATTTGGGACGTCCTCAGCACCGGTCTTGGACACACCCTTTGCTCCATTTGGCTCTGGTGTTTTCAAGGTTCCAAGCGGACTGCTACCCAAGCGGACGCTGGTCGCCCTCACCGGTTTGCCAGGTCAAAATCTTACACCTCGACCTTAAGTCGCCCAACGTGCCCTGACACCGGCGCGAAGACGGACGGATGGGCGGACACCACCCGTTGTCGTGGACGGGTAGCGAGTGACATGGGCTGGTACAGAGAGAAGAACGTAAGAAACAGTACCCCTGTGGCAGCCGCTATTCTGGCTGACGTGTGGTTGACTCTTTCAAGGTTAGAATAGCAAGACACAGTTGTCAGTGCCGCTGTTTTGGGATCGTGGTGGCCCCGAAATGAACCCTAAGCCGGTGTTCGCCCACAAGGCACTTGGTTTGACGAGGTCTTCGTTGGTTTGGATCTTGGGTCGATGTGTGTTGAATGGATGACATGTTTGATCACCAAAACCATTAGATTTAGATCAACAACACCTGGAGGGTGCTATTTAATTTAGGATATGGACTGCACATGAGCAGCAGTTTTGGCTTGTGAAATTGTGCTTACGCAGGGTAGACTCACCGCACTTGCTTCAAAGTTTGAGCCCTTGTAAATACTTCAAGCAACAGCTCTAGTAGAACAACAGGTTGGACCCAAATTATACAGCCTGTAGATGAGGCCCAGTGTTGGGTGAAGAGCGTTAGAGCAGGGTCAACCTTGATCCAGCAGCCCATTTGAACATAAGGGCTGACCCCCATCAGTCGCACAGAAAACATCCAAAGGAAGTATAGTCATTTGACTACATGGATCCTACCTATCAGAGTAGATGGCACAATCCACCCCTGGTCAGGAAAAAGATCAACATCCTGATGTTTTCTTCACGACGTGGCCCCATTCTTATCATTACTAGTAGGTTGGAGGCCATCGCTAGTACTAGTACTACTCATTCTACATGTTTATCATCGCTTAGTCATTGCTGCCATGGGCGCGGACGCAGTGTTGCGCACCGAAGTGCGACGCATTTTGGGCAGCGAGACGCCGGAGGAGCAGCTCAGTCAACGGAAGCCGGGGAAGAGGTCACAATGGGCTACCCCACATGGCCCTTAGCCTTAGACATTCTTTTTGAGGGTCAACTGCAACTCCCTAGGCAAACCCCTTCTGAGCCAAACTGCCAACTCTTCAGTGTGAATGGCACAGATAGAATCAGAACCTGGTTATGATCAGGGACCTGGTTATGATCAGACCAAGGGGTGATGATCCCTTATGTCAACGATGGATGTACCTCCCATGACCTCCCCAAACATGGAGGGCAAAACCTCTTCTTTCGATGCGTTGAAATACCCGCAAGAGTCTGCAATACTCGGACACTCCATGTATGCCATATATGCCTACATTGGGGTGGTTTGGGGGGTCAATGGGGCGGCATATATATCCAGTTCCATGGGTCGTGTATGGGATATGCTCAGAACATGTGCAAAAGGAGCTGTTTTTTCTTCCAGCCGTGGGGTGCAGTTTTCTGAGGCTGATCAAGGCTTTGACTGGCCCCGAGCTGGAAGCCGTGCTTGTGAAGGCTCATGAGCAGGTCACTGGGACGGATGAGCAGGTGTTTCTCAAGAAGAAATGGGGCCCACCCACCCTAGGGCTCCTGGCCCATCTCCTCAGGTTCGGTGGTTAGACCCCCCCTGGCACCCACCCCTGGCCCATCTTCGAAACGGAGGTGGTTGGAGCCCTAGGCCCAGGAAAAGTGAATCACATAGGATTAACTGCACAAAACCTACTGTATTTTTTGGGGTGTTTTCCCACTGAGATGTCAACAGGTGGAACGTTTGATGAAGCCGTATATTTCCAGGACATTTGAGGGAACTGGTTGATCTCTCAGGCAGAAAATGGGATTCAAAAACGACAACAGCTTCAGGCTTTTTCTGGCGGATCTGTCCAGCAAGTTGGCTTTGAAAAATCATCGGCCGCCCTGGCCAGTTGAACCAAAAGATGCCAAGAATGTGAAGAACCAGGGTTGCAGATATGCCAGTTGGTGCGGGAGCTCTTCCGGATGCCGTTTGAAGCGCTTCTTTTTCCTGGCTCAGGCAAGGGGCTTTGTGACGAGTTCCTGTGGCGTAATTCCTGCAGACTTCGATGGACATGTGCCCAGAGGCTAGAGGTTTCACAGCTGGCCTCACTGGGCACCAAATCCCTTTTCCAAAACGTGGCTTCGGAGACGGGGACAGGTTTTCGCCATGGGAACAACCGTGGAAAACCATGGGATCAAAGCTGGAAAGAAAGAGAGCCAGAGGCGTGGAACCTCCTATTCCAACCTCGTGCAAGCTGGTTGGGATGCTTTTCGGCTCTTCGTCGTTTCACAGAACTCCCTGACCCCGGTTCGCTGTTTCTCACACGGACCGGTCGATCGCCAAAACCACACAGTTCAGAAACCAACAGACAGGCTCAGACAGGGTGATACAGGGTGATCGCGGTTGGATAACACATCACATCATCACATTTTGCACCTTTCATGAATGCATCTTCAGCGTTCAGTGGGACTTCCTGAGCGAAGTTTGGGCAGCCCTCGGCGAAGTTCGTCCGTCAAAGACTAACACTCCCAGGCTTGTGGCTAAAACCAAGGAAAAGAACATTCTCAGACACCCCCACAACCTGCACCTTGACCAGACAACAGTTGTTTGCTGCCATTGGGTGGACCATTGATTTAGGAGTTTCAGCCCCTTTGATATCATTGCGAGATCTTGTCATCAGCGCCGTGGTAGTGGCAGCATTCCACAGAAGGGGTCTTTCATGGTATTTCTTTATTTGAGTACTGCTGTAGGGTGCTGGATTTGGGCTTTGTTTTCTTTTTCGTTTGCCAGCTCTCGGCATCATTGATCAATTGATTCACACTCAATCACATCTTCGAATCGACACCCCCAACCATCCTGAGCCCCAACCCGCATGCCACCCCCGACCGGGTTCTGGACTCCGCCGGAGCAGCGAACTATAGAGTCTAGAGTGCGAGCGCTATAGCGCGTTTGTCGCGAGCTTGCGGAGCCGAACGCCAGGCTTAAGCAACTTGGGGAACACTTGCTTCTTAGCTTCCGTGTTGCAATGCTTGGCGCAGACGGAGAACTTCTCTCAAGAGCTCACGCTAACGCCCGAAGGCTGGCGAACCCGGCAGATGGTGATGGCGGATCTGTGATAGGATTTGCCCACCCCAATGCCAAGAACATGACAGAAGAAGAGTTTCCTGACCAAGCTTTCTATTTCTCAGTCAGATATTTCTCCAACATAACCCTGACTAGATTATAATTTGTCAGTATCTAGACAACTTGCTCTCCTTGTGCAACTTTTTGGGCACATCAGACTGACTGGATGCAAATTTCAGATCCCGGCATGGGGCACCCCATGACTGAGCACTTGCACATGACTTTCAGCGTGGGTGTTGGACTACCCCACGCTACTTTGACTTGTGTTGATAGGGAATGAGGGAATGGATCCAAAGGAATCTCTATTGGGAGCTCACTCCCTTTTTCCCAATTTTTTTCTCACTAGCACCTGTCAGTACTTTTGTGGCAAGCTCCAATGATCAGGCTCCATGATGCCTACCGGAGCCTGAACGCAAGAGACCAAGAGACTCCTTCGAACGAAGATCTGTGATGGTCTAGGACGCAGCTCGCAGCCCGAACAGATGGTATCGCATGATGGTCTAGGATGGTAGGAGGTGACGAACCTCACAGCCCATGACATGGTCATGGTCATCAAATCCTGATCTAGGATTTGCACCTCACACCGGCGTGCTCAAGATCTTCGCAAGAAACACACCATGTCCCCTTGTGATGGCCGCCATCGGGTTGAAACAAGTGGTGTTTTCTAGACCAGTGCCAACAGAGTGTTGGGAGGCATGATGTGTGGCTGATGCTTGCATCCCAAGGTAAAAGCAAAGCTATATAGCACATGATCACATGTGTGAATATGAGCCATGAAGAAAAGCTTTCACAGACCAAAACCTGCAAAACATGTTAACACCAGGATTCGCCAGGTGTTTCATGACCATGATGAGAAGATTTGAACTCAGATGTGCCAGCAAGAAAGGCAAGCAGTTTTGATTAGATTGATGAACACCTGGTGTCAAAACATGTCAAAACCATTTGCTCATATACATACATATATCACATATATATATATATACACATACACATTTATATATACAACACTATAGTACTATATATGGAAGGAAGACTTCTACATCACATGGTGAGGTACTTGTGGAATACTCTGAAAACCATATGTTCCTTATTGTTCAGTGCGCCCTGACCTGCCAGTGAGAAGAACCAAAAGCAACTTCAGCACCAAACACACCTCTTCAAGGCCACATGTTTTGTTTTCAAGTGCGTCCTTGACCTCCTTACTCCAATGCGTTTTCCTCCGTTTGCCACACCGACCTCCGCCCCACTCCGTCCCATCCGCTGGTCCAGGCCGCCTGGGCGGCATCGGCGGCGCCTTGCGGCGCGTGCTGCAGCAGCTGCGCTCGGCAGAGGAGGCCTCGGTGGAGGAGATTCTGGGAGAGTTGGCCGAGAGGCGAGGACGGGGGCACCTTGGGAAGGGTGCTGGGGAGGGGCGGAAGGCGGGTGGGTGGGTGAAAGGTGTGGGCGCAAGAACAGGGGAGATCATTTGGGCTCAAGCTCAAGAGACATAGCGTTTGGACAAGCACAGCAACGCAAAAGGATTCAACGTGTTTTAAACAACCCCTTGCAACACGATTCTGGCATCCGCGATGGCGGCCAGGTGTGGGGGTTGTTTGGCCCCTCAATGCTTTAGGCAGTGAATTGATTTTCGTGGTTTTGCGAACCCTGGAAGCTGGTATAGAGGGAATGGATTCCACAAGGGGCTCCAAATACCGAGTTCACCATGCAACCGATATTGGGATGAGATTGGGCGGATCAACAAATCCAATAATATATATATATATTATAAAGTGGTCAAGCCAGGGCCCACACCTGGTGTTGGTGTTTTTGTTACTTGACTGTCCGCACTGTGCCCCTTTGTGTTCGGCGATGTCAATCATTTTTAGTCAGCTGCCAACGTTTCATGAATCTTCGACCAGAAGGCTCCAATATCGGTGCTTTTGAGACCCAAACCTGAATGAAGGTGGCCCCAAAAATTGACAAACTCCAGAAGGGTGGTGAAGATCAGGCCAGTTTTGGGGGATCCAAATCCTAGCCAAGAAGAGTGGATCCACGTACAAACACCTGCAGGTCACCTCTTTGGTGATTTTTTCAGGGACAACCGGACAACCCACTCAAAACCACCAGGTGGAGAGTTCGAGGAGCCTCTACATATCTCTACATCCATGGATCAACTGATGGAAACTCGTGATTTCTCGGGAAGAGAAAAGGGTTTGTCCGGCAGATTGTTGAATCCAGTGGGGCAGGTACAGCTGGTACCGCGGCAAGTCCCAGCAAGATGCCCACGAGCTCCTGCGCACGCTACTGGCAGCCTTGGCCGATGAGAGGGAGGCCCAAAATGGCCCAAAGCATCGGGTCAGAGCCCTGATCCTGGTTTTGTGGATCAGGTTGAATTTTTATTTTTTTTCCCTATAATGGCTCAATCCTCTTCTCACTATTTGGTTCGAGGCTCCTGGAACTCCTCTCGCCGGCGAGAGGACGATTTCGGGTGATTCGTCACCGGGACGCCGCAGGATGCGGCCACCGACCATGTTTGGAGCCCTCGTTACACGGGGCGGATGACAAACATGCCAAAACACCGCCCGAGTCGTTGACTCCGTGACCGTCCCTTCGAGCGGTGTTTCCGTCGGTTTTGCCGCGGTTCCACGTGGAAGACAGCTCTGCACGGCGTCCTCAGCGTCTCGTCATCGGAGACGGTCGTGCAGCCCACGCGAAGCCCGGCGTCGGTCTCGCCCAACAAAAAGAGGTGAAGGAGGACAAGGAGACGCTGCAGCAGTTGGTGCATCGGAGCTTTCGAGGACAAATGTGCGAGGCCATCCTGTGCTGGTTCCTTGGCTCAGAAATCATCGATCCTGGGCCACCTGGTTTGTGTTGGCTCATGTTGAGCCATGGTGATGTTAATAAAATGCACTACAGAAGGTCTTTGGACATGCGATTCATATGGCAGGACCCAGGCGGAGCAAACTAATACGGCCTTGGTACAGTACTAGGGGGAGTCCTTAATCATGGCCTGACATTCTCGTGAAAAAGCCGGTTTGTCATGATTTCCCAGTGGCAGATGTTGAAGCAGCACACTTAGACCCAAAGCAGCACACTTTGCGTCGTGAGGTCCTGCCGGGAGATCTCATTCCGCCATGAGTTCTTCCTGGACTTTTCCTTGGAGTTCTTGGCTGAGCAGAGGATGTGAGTTTCTTCTCCCACATAATCCCCAAAAGGATGGAAGAAATCCTACACCTCAAACCATCCAGCCACAGGCAACGTGCGGTCCTTGTTTCATGCACCAGCCGGAGTTGTTTCAAGAGGGGATTGAAGAATACCCCCAGCAGCAGGGCTCTATACCCAATCACGGTATATCACTGTAAGTATCACTGTACTATACTGTACCTCTTGGCTTCGGAACCGCTTGGTCAATAAGACTCATACCTGGAACCTCGTTAGGCAATAATTTCCGCCCCACGCCATTGAGGCAGAAAATTCAGCCCGTTTTTGCAAAGAACGCCTAAGCTACAGCCTCGAGGGTCAAAAATGCCGAGGCACAATCACATGCATTCTTACATGCAGGAGGCAGAGCCAGAATTTGAATGATTGAATGAACAAACATTGAGAAAACAAACGCCAGACACTTGAAGCTAATCCCCAGTCTAAAGTTATTGAAACTCATGTCGCTCACTCCCCCTAAAAGGCTACCATTCCGTTGTCCACCCAACTACTGATTGTAGTGAGGGGGGAACGGCCAAGAACGCCTAAGTAATGGGCAAGAACGCCCAAGTAACGGGTAAGAACGCCTAAGTGACGGGAATAACACCTTGCAAACAGATATTAAAGCAATGAATCAATGCATAGAAAAAACGAAAAACATACCAAAGAGATCACAAGAGGAACATTAAGTGAATTCATGACAAACAAATGTACCTCACTATGAAGGTTCCTGGAATCAGTGGTGGGTGGATCCTCATCTATTTCAGCAATGCCACCAAAAGATACCAAAAGGACGAGAATGCCCAGAGGGGACAAGAACGCCTACAGGGGGGCAGAAATTTTTGCCCAAGAAGAGGTTATAGGTATTATTCAATAATTGAGTCATACCCCAGACACTCCATGTATCCCATAGGACTGCCGATCAGGCCAGGGGTGGTTTTGGGGGTCAATGCGGCGGCAGTCCTATGGCAGTCCCATGGAGTGTTTGGATATATATATATATATGTATATATTAATATATATGCACATAATCACACATATTCACACACGGACACCAGACACCAAAACGGGCCTCACCGCCTCCGCCCACCGCCTCCGCCCCTGAGGACCTCTCTGAGGAGGATCCGGCTCCGGGGCCCTTGGGCCTGCGTGGCTGGGTGATGCAACCCATGCCATCGCCGGAGGAGGAAGAGGTGGATGAAGAGGCAGAGGCGCTGGGAGAGAACGCATCGTTTCTGGGGAAGAGGCAGAGTTCTGGGGGAAGGAGGAGAAATAGAGCGAATAGAGCAGTTGATTTGGAGAAGTTTCTATCCACCCCCTGCAGTCCTGCAGTTGCAGCAGATGAATGTTGTGCTCAGTTATACATCCTTTTGCCTCAAGATCTTGGCAGGAGTGATGAGTTCACACACCACTAAGTTATTATCCCGGTGTGCCCATCCCCCAACCAATCAACAGCAAGTAGTATGTCTTGTATGGTTTCGCTCCGACTCCTCAGAACCTCCACCAAACCATGTCTGGCCAAGCAGAAGCCACACATCTGCTGAGCAGGCTGCAAGCCAACCTGCTCCATCCGGCGAATCCACCGGGAAATTCCTGTGAGAGATCTATCATTCGACTGAAGGGCCTGCAGTAGAACTCATCCCAAGAACTGGATTCTTCACTGCTTTGCTGCCCTTGTACTGGCCTGGGCCTCGTTTCTTGGGGCTGATGCCAGATGCTGCCAGATGCTGGGTGCTTCCGCTCTTTCCACTTCACACACAGTTCCTCCAACTCCAGGCCGATGGTGCTGAAGCTGAACGAGCGGCCGAGAGCCTGGAAGAACATGTCATCGAGGTCCAGTTGGAGCGAGTGCCGGGTCGACGGATCGCGTTGGGCTTCGAATGGCAAGAGCTGCCCGTGCACCAGTGACGCCTGGCTGTAGCGTTACGTGCAGGAAGGTCGCAGCTTGCGGGTGGAGCAACGGTGAATGAAGGGTGCGGCCTATACTACACGGTGAATGGAAGTGGAGCCCACCCCCCTCTTTGTAAAGGAACAACTCCTCTTCCCATGGACCTATAGTGATAGTGGACAGACGTAGGTGAATCCACAACCGATTCAGCATTGACAAATTGAAGTCGCTCAGCTCGTGTGTTTCAACTCATGTGTGAAACTTGACACGGCCAAGGCAAGGTTCTGCGACGGATTCATCCCAACAGCTTGGCGGAGCAGTGGAACAAGCGTTTCAACCGCCGGCTGCATCTCGGATCAACGAGGATCAACGTCTCAACGTCGCCATACGTCGCCGATTCTTTTCTTCCCCGATGGGTGTGGACTTCGGGGCGATGGTGAGAGATGACATGAGATATCATGAGATGATATACCAGGACCGAAACCAAGTTCGGTGGTTTTTGGACACCTAAGCTCTCACCTCAGCCAGAGGCTATTCATTGACACCTCTTGGAGGTGCTGGTATATACATCACCTGCACACGTGCGGCACGTTGAGCAGGTCCGGCGTCCTGAAAGTGTTCTGTTGAGTGGAGAGCGGTATGTGAGAAGTCTGGAGTCTTTGTCTCCTCTTTCAGTGCCCAAACATGTATCCCATGTAGCCCCAAATAGCCCAAACACCGCCCATTCACCCATTGACCTCAAAAACCATGTGCTTACTACTGGGAGCAAGGATGCTACTAGGGGCTTGTTCCTCGCTCCAAGGACTCCTGGGCTTTTATTGCTCTCAGTCAATGGTCACTTGGCCGCACTGGAGCCCTTGGGCAGGGAGCATGGGTGATGCGCATGTGTGCGCATGGCCAGAGAAGAACAAAACAAACTCAAGGGAGCCCCACTAAGCCGGATCCGGCAGAGAGGCACAGCACATACAGACATACAATGGGTTAAGGATCACTTCATACCCTTTCTGGGCTTACGGAGAACATAGAAGTACAACCCACTTGAGGTTTTGTTGCTTTGCTCCGTAGCTGTCACCATCGCTAAGTGAAGTCCGGAAACGGCAGACGAAGCCACCGGAACAACTGGCCGAACATCGGGCGCGTCTTTTGGGCAACAGGCTGAACTGGATGCTGTTGATATCCCATCCTCAATGAGACATGATATGCATAATATATACCCTGAGAGTCAAAGACTATAAAAAGAATATGCTCTTTAGGTGACCCGAAAAGGAATTTCCTTTACTTCAGTCAGTCAACATATAGTCTTTGGACTTCTAGGGCTTCAGTAAAGTTTAGTCTGGAGTCTTACAGATCAAGAAGGCTTTGCATGTCTTCATCCCCCAAATCGTTGCCGTTGTGCCTCGGAGCGTTTCGCTGAGTGAGTGGAGTGAGTGAGGCTTGTCGGACCGTTTCGCTCCCTCAACGCGCCGGAACTGAGGGGAGGAGGATCATGAGGAGATCATGCAGATCTTGAAGGATGAGGCGAAGCTGTCCCTACGCTTTGCTCCTGAAGAGGTCATGCGGCGCTTTGGTGCCACGCAGGGAAGCGCCAAGGGCTTCCAAGTGGAGACCTGGGCAGCACAATTTTTGAAGGGCTTGAAGCTGTTTCAACTCTGGAACAGGGGTGCTCAGGGATTTGAAGAAGATGCTTTAGGTTCGCTCTGTGTACAATTTATGGGCTAATTAGAAAGCCTTTGGGAACCCTAGTTGTGCCTTGTCACAGACTACGTTGATCAGATCAGATGGCCTGCAAGAATCATGTAGATGCAAAACCAACAACTGGGATAATACATACCAACCCATAGTCGTGCCTCTCGGAGATGATTTTTGGTGGCAGGTATTTGAGAGTAGATGTTGCAAACATGCCAAAATATGAATTCTGATGGATCATGGATGAATAGCCACATGAAGTCACTGAGAGCTGAGCAGTTTTGGCAAACCAATGAAAACCAAACAAGAGTTGGAACACTGTTAAGCAGCATCAAAGGAACAAGCTCAGCCCCTTCTCCCACTTTTACATCCGTGACCTTAACATGCCGTTCACACATGTTCACACCTCTCCGCCGAGGATTTGACACGAGAGACTGGCTCCAAAAGGGCTTGGGGCTTCCAACTCGATCAGAAGGCTTTGGAGATGGTGGGATCGACGTGTCCTGGCGTGAACGAACAACTCCAGCACCCCTTTTTTCCAAGCTTCGTTTGGGCAAACATAGATGCCCGCGACTCCCTAGACCTCTCCTCACCCAGAGCGGATCAATGCCATCCGTTTCACCCGAGCCCCCGCGGGGTCAGGTTGATTGTGGCCCAGATCCACCCGGACTCCTTGTTGGATGCTTGGCGTTGATGGTTGAGTGACTAGTGATTTTTAGATGTTTCTATCCCAGGCACTCCATGTATGGAATATGTGCGGAATATTAAATATATGCTGTTTACATGCCGCATATACCTATATACACATTGACCCCCCCCCAGAAGCACCCCAACTGATCGGCACATCTATGGCAGTCCCATATATACATATATATATATAGGTCGTGTGGTTGGGCCATGACGTATTTCCCCCGGTCCGGTGAACGTTTCGGTGTGTTCACCCGGCTTCGCTCCAAGGACGCCTGGAACCTCCGCTGCCGCTCGATGGGCAGCCGTGCGAAGCTGGTCGTCCACCCCGGCGACCGCATCCTCTCGGTGAACGGCGAGAGCGACAACGTCCAGGCACGGTGCAGGACACACGCGGGACACACATGGGACACGTAGCGTTTCTTTCTTTGCCGCTCGCTTTATGTGGCCTCCGAACATCAACGCGTAACTCCATGCTCAGCCTGCCCCCCCGCAGTGGGCAAACACATGCAAAGATTTGTGGCTTCCAGAAAATGGCCTACGGCCTACCCTGACAAGAATCGAAGTGGACAAGCGCCTGTTTGTGCGGAAAATGGTCGTGCAATGGGCCATTGTCTACTTCCATGATTGTTCCAGGGAGGGTCGAAACGAAGCACATCCAATGGATCGACCGTCTCGCCTGAACAACTCCCCGCGACAAAAGCGCTTCATGTTCCCGACCGGGGCTGGTGGAGACACTCGGAAGTCGGATTCAAGTTTTGGAGAGTCCGGTTGGTTCGATGAATTAATGCTTTCTGGATAGGGACATAGCCCGCAAGCAACAGGAACCTGAAACTGAGCGAAGTTTGTTTATAGGCCTTTCTGCAAAGCAAATAGCTCAGACGTTCCAGGTCCATTCATTCTGAGAACACAATGGTTATATTATATAGCATGGCAGCAAATCCTGTTATAAATGGTTATAACATGGTTTATATAAGTTATATAACTTATACAGCAAACAAATCCTTTGGATCACCCAATGCTTTCTGTGGATTTGGATTGCAAGCTTCAGCTTCTCAGCCAGGCCATGGTCAAGGCCTTGCAAAGCCAGACCCGACAGAAGAACAGCATCCTGGTTTTGCTTGATATGATTTTTTGTTGTATTTTTCCGATGGTTCATGGTTCAATCCTTTTGTCGGGAACATGTTTTTTTTCCTTTCCCAGGTTCGGAGCCGCTTCCTCCAAGGCATTCTTCTGGAGCCAGGGGACCGCGACGCGTATATGGGCGGTTATCCCGCTGGCGCGGAAAGAGCGGAAGATGCGGAGGCCCAGTTCGAGGCGCAGGGGTCCTGGTGGCTTTTTCAGTGGGTCACGGAGTCATGGCACCTACCAACATCTACAAACCATGGTTTCGGTTGACATCATTTGATCCTGGGATGAGGGGGGCTGTTCATGTTCGCAAAAAATCAGCAGGGCCCCCCTGTGTTGACCATGTTCAACCAGGTTGCTGACCAGGAATATCTTCACGACATGGCCAATGATTCCGGACTGTTTGCTTCATGTCCCAGACCATCCATAGGACTGGTCTATTGACCGATGCCATGTACCTCCAAGAGGTGTCTATAAATAGCCTCTGGCTGAGGTGAGAGGTTAGGTGTGCCAAAACCACCGAACTTGGTTTCGGTCCTGGTAGGTATATATATATATATCTATTTATCTTCCCCACAGGCAAGAACCTCTTCAACTTCGGTATATATTCCAGTCTTCATGGATGGTCTGGGTTTTGTCTCCGCTTCCTTTCGGTGGAACCTCGGTCGTTCCGCCGTCTCGGACCGAAAGAAGCACACGAGACGGCGGGACGTTTCTGGTGGTTCTTGCCAAACATTGAGGTCTCGTGTGCACTGACCGAGACAGACTTGGTTTATATATATACTAATGAGTCCTAATGAGCCACTTTTTTTGGCTGTGAAGCTCTCAGCAGTGATCGAAGAAGAAGTAAGTTTAGGACACACTTCTCCAAGAAGGTGAAGAGATTTGCTTGCAGACCCTGAGAACATGTGGACATTGGCCCACACGATAGACTAGGCTCAAGTTAGTTTTTGCGAGCGAAGTGAGTTTAGCGCGGGTTTGGGGGGGGCAGAGCGTCAGTCTGCTTGTGTTTCATTTTTATGGTAGGCTACATTGCTTCATTTGGAGCTTCATCACCTGCATCATCAAGGTCTTTACTGGGAAGTTAGTGGATAGATCTCTTGTTGGCTACGAGTTCACAGCGGTTTCGTCCATTATATAGTTCTACCAGAGTAGCAACCACGTTGAAACACGGAACATGCCACATAGAAAGTGACACAAAACAGAAAGCCTTGAAACAGCCAGGAGTCACGACACTACCCGTTGTGCACAGATGTGTAATCCTGTCGTCATCGTTTCCCACCACAGGTTTGTACAGGTCGCAACCACGGGTTTTTGAGAAAATGTCATCGCACTGGACAGAACATTTATTTGGCATCACTCCGGCATCTCCAGGAGATGTAAGGACTGGTAAGGATTGCAGATGACTACAGCAGATCATAACAGATCTTTTGGTGTCGGGCTCTTCCACAAGAAACCAATTGAGTCTCAAAATATCTAAAATTGGTCTGACCACGTGAGCAGGTGGTTGGCCTGGTCATAGAAGCAGTGTGCTTATTAAGCAATGAGACTTTTTGGTCCAGGCTCAGTTGCAAGCACGTCTGCCATCCTTCATGAAACACCGGTCTTGTCCGCCATCACCTCTGCCATCAGGCCACCTTCACTCCGCAGAGCGTCCGGTTTCATGTGTTGTTTCGATTTTACGCACCCACTGGACTGGCAGACAGCTGGACTGGCAGTGCTGTAGAGAGAGAGAGAGAGAGATTGGTTTTGTCCCCAAGTTTTCATACCATTTCATAACCGTCATAACCCATATACTCCATGACATCCGCATATGGACTCACGCCGATGGACATCACTGAAACCCTTTGACCCGACCTTACCACTTCGACCTGTCGAATAGCCGCATAGCGGTTCCAGTCGACTGGTGCACCTGTTTCAGGTGGCTTTGGAGGACTCCTTGGGGCCTTTCGGCTTCCAAGTGGAGCATCAGCGTGTGAAAGGCATCGACGAAGGCGGGGCGACGTCAGAGGGACGACGACGACGACGTCAGGGACCGAGCTTTTCAGGTCAGAGACGGTCAGAGACGCGCGGGGTCCTGGGGTCCTTCAGTGAAGACACCAGGGGCGGCGGCGTGAAGACACGAGCTGTTCTGTTCGAGACGATGCCCAAAACAAGCTTCAAACGGCCGGGGTAGGAAGGCATGATCACGAGTGAGACTGAGCCGCTGAGCTGGCCGTGATCCGGAGGTATTTCGGCCCCTTCAGTGAAACTCAAAAACCTAGAGCTGGCGCGTGAGCGAGGTCAAAGCCATGCAGGCTTTGGGCATGAAAGGCAAGTGTTAGATGGTAGTGAGAGCCATTTAAGTTCAACCATATTCAAACTATATCGGGATGACGAGCACACGAAACTTTGGAGGCTCTTGTCATGGGTGACCATCCGCCAATACCATGTTTTTCTGTGATTCCATTAAACTTGGTGCACACCGACACCAAGTTTCGGCGTCAACAGAATATAAATCCCCAAACAGTATGGACACACTTAGGGGTTCTTACGGTAGTAGTTAAGCAGCTGTGCTTAGATCACGGGGTCTCTTGCCGGGATATGTTTTTGAAAACCCTGGGCTGAGGATCTCCCCTGGCGATGTGGAACTTGGTGTGTCGCTCACGAGGGGAAGAGGATCTGTGTGTGGAGCTGGGCGACACGCTGCTTCAGGAGGCGTCCTCCAGTGGCAGGCGACACCGCAAGCGTTGCGCATGTTTTTTTGCGCGGGACAACGGCCACCATGCAGGGGGCATCCTAGAATGACTAGAATCCATAGAAGATGTGCATGTATTTGCAGGGTTTTGTTCCCTTGTGACCCAGGTGGACAGGTCATTGTCATGTCATGTCTAGTGCCCAGGTCGACCCAGAAATTAACAGCTCATTCAACAGAAGTCTTACACTCCCTGAAATCATCATGGAAGTGGACAATTGGCCCTTGGAAACCCACGAGTTCCTCTACAAACAGCACTGCACTGGGAAAATCCGCTCTGCTTCGCTACGAGCACGAGAGCAACTTCCTTCACGCTGGAAGTGGGCACCCTTGACCCAACCCCCGATAGTTTTGGTATAAAAGGAGGTACGTAGAAGGTAGAAGCTGTTCCTTTTGCATGTTGGAATCCTCCAACAGGTCAAGCCAATGAGGACCCAACCAAGGCAGAAACATGCAGAAACCCTGTTTTATGAAAGAAGCAGAGAGAGTCACGTTCTTCCCAGAACTGATTTAATCAGTAAAAGGATGTGAAAGGAACATCTAACACTGAACACCCAAAGCTTTTGTCCGGGTGAAAGCATGTGAAAACGTCTCCTGTAGATGTTCCTTTCAACCAATTCTGGGAGTTCATGGGGGTGGCGAACTCCGATCTTCACGTGTGGCCGAACTCCGGGCCACACCGCCCCCGCGCGGTTCAGGCGCATCTTCCAGCTCCGGCGCTCCAAGGAACGTCAGGCCTCCGTCCGCGCCCTCGGCGCTCGGCCCGACGCTGCCAGCGGCACGGCCGCGGCGCGCGGCGCCGGCGCTGAGGGGCCGCGCGTGGAGATGGTCCGTGCCGCGGAGGAGTGCGTGGCAGCTCTGGACAAACCCTTGAGGGAGCTTTTTGAGACCAAGCCCAGGCAAGATGGGGATGGTGGGAAGTTTCATTGATATTTATGGGATTTGTGTGAAGGCAAGGTTTAGATGTATAGTTTATGATGACTATATTGTCAGAATTCATTTATATATTTACATTGGCCTTAAGGCTTCCGTTTGAACCAGTTCGGATTGGTGGAGTGGGGAACGAGCAACGGAGCAGCATTTGGTTGTGTGTCGATCAGTGAGATCAGCAACCAAGCATCGATATTTGCTGTCCATTGAATTGGACACTGGTTATAGTTATGGCTCAACGGCAGCGTTTGGGTCGCCGGAATTGCCTGGTGACGTGGTGTGACTCGAAGTTGCAAGCCCAAAATCATTTCCTCATCAAAACTGGTTTTGACATGTTTTAACACTGCAGGGTGCATGCAGTTTGAACATTGGCTCCAATGGTGATCACAGCCCCCTGTTCACCATCAAACGCCAATGTTCGCCAACCTCCTAAGAACAGGTAGATAGAAACATATATAGAAACTGTTTGATGATCTATAAAGGGCTCAGATTCACTTGGCTCAGCCCTCATGCAGTTGGCTCATGTTGGCTCATTCTCTCGCTCGCCCTCGCTTCTCGCTCGCCAATGCAGCGTGGTGTCGCTGGCAGGCCCAAGGTGGTGTCGCTGGCAGACTGCGTGAGGGATTTGGGTGCCCTGGGTTTTGCGGATCAGGTGATTTTGCTTGATTTTGTATTTTCCCGAACTGGTTAGATCCTTAAACCTGGGCAAAATACTTTTTCCAGAATCCTTTTTGAGCTGCTTTTTCCTTGAGGTGCCATTGAAGCCTTGGAGGAATCCTTCGAAGCAATCTACAAGTGCCAACACTGCCACTGGGCTGCAGAAGGGACCTTTTGCTCGCAGTTTTGTGCCGGGGATCCTTCATTCATGATGGTTTGGGTGCTGATGATCAAGCTGCAGCCAAAATGAATTCAACTCTATTCACTGGCAACATGATCCACAACACCACTTTTGCTAGAGGATCGTAGCCATTAGGGGCACCCTGGATCTTTCAGTTTCACCTGGAGCCACTCATTCTGAGCATTTCTTAGCTGCTTTGTGGGCATCATGTTCCACCCGAGTGAGTCCCAACAGCTCCCTCCACCTGCTCAGTCACTTCCAACACCATCGTTTTCGCCACGTGGTTTTCCAGCCATTCAGCCATCTATAGCGATCTCCACACCACACACAAACACAAAAAGAACTTGATCAGCATCGAACCAGCATCGCCTCACCAGGTTTGTTTGTTCCCCTCCTCCAAAGCACGTCATTACATGATGCGCTAGGCAGGCGCTAGGCCAATATCAAGGCGTCTTGGCAAACACCCCAGGTGCCGTGTGGTGCCAACTACCGCTGACAGCGACCGGACCAACTGCCCCCCCACTCCAGGTACTCCATCCCGGACCTTTGCCTCCAAACGTGCCTGGCTCTGGGGCTCCTTGCCACCGGTGCTCCCCGTGCAGCTGAAGCGCTTCCGGCGTGAGCGCGATGGGGCGTTCCGGCGACTTGGAGCTGGAGAGAACGGGTCTGCAGGTGAGTCAGATCCGGAAAAGGATTTGGATGAGGCTCTGAAAGTCTATCTAATCTCTCTCTCTATTTATATATTATATAAAAAGCTATGAAGGATCCGGAAAAGGCTCTGAACGTCTGTATGTTAATTGTTTAAGTTGTTCAATGCAGGTGAGTTGATAGTTGATATTAGTACGTGATAATAGGGGTGTTCGCTTTTGTGGAGGGTTGACCACACAAGGGCAACGCAAGAGTTTATATTATATAGGTTCGTAGATTTGTGGACGCGGCATGATCTACGTAAAGGGATGGAGCTTACCAGTTCAAGAGGACCTTGCCTATCGTTCCTTTATGTTACAATGTGTGTGTCCCCCTCGGGGGCAATAACCCGCCCGAAGCCCTAGCAGCTGTGAAGACAGATTAAGATGAACAACTTGCTTGACTCAGAGTCTTTAAAAGTTAATGATTTGGGGGCGTCCTACTACCTGTCACAGTCGGTCAACACCACTCTCACAATTCTTCAGATAGAGGAAGGCCTGCGACCTAACCATCCCTAGGGATCCAAGTACCTTCTCAGGAGGTGATTGGAAACACTCTTATGTAGGTTTTGAGGGTCCAAGTACCTTCTGAGAAGGTACGACTGGATCCCTAGGGCATCATCCACTGTTTCCCAAGAAAATCACACACCAACCCCAACCCCAGGATATGACGATCCACCCAAGAGTCTCCACGGCTCCACGGCTATGACGCCACGGCCCGAGGAAGTCACAGACCCGAATTCAGACCAGCAGCACCTTCGCTTTGGAGAAAGTGGGTTGGGAGAGTATTTGGGGCAGCCCATAGCATGGAAAACAGAACCGGATTGAAAGAATCATGGTTAATTACGTGGATGGGGCCTCTTGGATGACCATTTTCCTCTACCAACAGGTGTCCACTTCCATGATTGCTTCAGGGAGCGGGCTCCTTCCACTATTTGGTGTCCTTTCATGGCATGGCTTACGCATCTTTATATAGTAGTCAACCCCTATATAATCCTATATAAATATAGTAGTCAACCCCCCTCACCAATTCCCAAACACCACGTCGCCCTGGCGACGGCCCGGGCCTTGGCCCTGAACGGGCGTCGGACGCACCGGTCTTGCGTCGTTCCTGGACCGGGCTGCGTCGTTTCCCTTGGGCCCAGAGAGGGCCTTGGTTGGGTCAGATTGGGAAGGCCAAAGCAACATAAATCAACCATGTCTTTCAATATATGTATATTATATATATATTATATATATATATATGTTTTCAATGCTTGTGATACCCTAAAGCCACGAAACAGTTTCAATCTGGTCTTTATGTCAGACCTTTTGGGGTCGCTGGTAACAACCCGCCTTCTTCGCCTGAGCCGACTGAAAATCTGGGATTGTCACAGCTGAGGTACCTTAGACCTCTCAGATCTCTTATTGTCCTCCAAAGAGCAGCAACTCTTGAAGTCTTTGGCACCTCGGTGACCCAATTTGCTTGGTGGCTGGCATGGGCCGAGCCGTCAATGCTCGGTTTGTTGCAGAAGCCTGCCCGGGCAGCGCAGCGAATCGCTCGCTCGTTGGGAATTGGGGCGATGTGATGTCGGCCAACCCCCTTGGACGAACAGTTGCTTGCACCGCATCGGACGATGAGAACCCCTGAGCTGACGCTGAAATGGTTGGACCCGGGTGTGCAGGCCACTTGTGCAGGCTGGCACTTACACTCCCCGGATCTCTCCGGAATCATCTCATGGAAGTGGAACACCATGGAACACCTATTTGTAGAGGAACATGATGGAACATGGTCATCCAAGGGGCCATGCCATCCACTTCCATGATGTATCCAGGGAGTGTACAAGATCCGACTTCGTTGCTTTGCAACAATTTTCATGCCTCTTCTTTTCAGCTTTGATGGTCCGCGCTTCCGCGCTTCCTACCCGCCGGGTGATAGCCTCGACCAATGGAAACATAGGCTTGAAGTCGACCCAATATTCTTTTTCAGAAGCATTGGTCAGTCAACCTTTCAGGTGTCTTTTTCCAAGATCATTTTTAGGTGTTTTCCTCAAAGGTCCTGGGTGGTCTGCAGGTTCGTTTCCAAGCATCTCCTGGTGGTGTTTGGGAAGCTGGTCGGGTGCCCACTTGGTCAACTGGGGTTCCTGGTTTTGCTTATCAGGAAATTGTTAATTTCCCCAAACTGGTTTAGTCCTGCATGGAGAACATATTCTATGTTTCAAGGTTCCTGGACAACAAATCCAAGGTTTGAAACCCCAACCAGCTGGGGTTTCATATTTGGACCGCCCCGGAGGTCATCTTCGGCTTTTTGTCGGAGCACATTCGGTCACATGCGCGCAAGACGAGGGGCCCCAAAACCATATATACAGGGGGACTGAACAAACATTTTTTCTAGGACTCAAACATTGAACAAGAATCATCATTTGTGGAAGCGATTTTGACTGAAGGTTCTCATCTCTTTTCATGCGTCTCACAGGTCAAGAAGGAGCATGAAGCCTTGAATGCGGAGGTCTCAGAATGCGCCGTCTACGAAGCTTGGTGGACATGTAGGAACAGCGACATACAGCGACCCAGTTTCTCCAGATCACCCAGTGAAAATGTGTCTTTTTCTTCATGCTTTTTTGGGCTCTTGAATCGACGCCAGGCTCTTGAAGCTGCCACACCCCCGGTCTTACGCATTAATTAGAAGCTCAAGTAACTTGACCTTCCAACAGGTGGTTTTTTGGATACCCGTTAACCTCTAAGAAGCCATTTATAGAGACACCCCTTGGTGTCGGTCCTGGTACAATTTCTCATCAAGTGTCCGGTTTTGTTCCTGATCTCTTAGACCAGCGCAATTCTGCAAAACGCATATGGGTGGCTGAGGCTGAGTCCGCGTGACATGTTTCTTAAAGCTTTGCCAGAACTGATCACTTACCCGAGCCAGGCGAAAAGGTCAGGACGTCTCATTTCCAGGATATGTTGGATCAACTTTTGGCATGCATGACCTGTGATCCGGGTGAGGTTGAGGTGGAAAAGCAGCAACGAACGCAGTGCCCATTCTGACTTGACACTCCGTAGAATCAGAATCGTAGATGTATGTGGCCTCATGCCCCACTTACTCAATCAGAAAACACGCACTCGCTTGCGACCTACAAGGGGTGGTGGTTTTGGATACCCCTTCAACCTACTATACCCAGACACTCCATGTATGCCATATATGCTCACATTGACCCCCAAACCACCCCAATGTAGGCATGTATGGCAGTCCCATGGGTCGTGTTTGGGTACTATAAGGGTCTATCATTCCTGACTGCACCGAGCTTTCTTCGTCCAGCGGTGTTACAGTCCGTCCGAGGAGTTGTATGCGGTGTGCGCTCATCTGGGCGGCAGCATGGAGCGAGGCCACTACGTGGCCTTCATCAACGCTGGGCGCAGCCTGAAGGACGTTGGACGAAGAGACGTAGGACGTTGGCTCGAGTAGGTTAGATAGCCGAAATCAGGACCGGTCACCTATTATATAGTGCTTTTGTTTAGAAGCAAGACGCATAACATAACTCTACTCCATGATGACGCTTCTTATTCTTCTTCTTGGCGTCTTGGTGTTTTTGTCATACTGTAATTGTTGTACTCTTCATGCATCACCTCTCCCCCTATGGTGAATTAGTTTTACTCTTCAGCGGGTCATCTAGGAATACATCCAAGGCCCCCAAAAAAAAACGGAAACGAGGGACACCGGCCTGGACGCGTTCCAACCAGCTGAGTAGAAGGAGAGATCGTTTATCGACGGTTGTTCGGCCGGAAAGATGTATTTCATGGTATTTCCCATGTCTCGGGGAGTGTGTTTGTGCACCGGCTTGCTTTTTTGGAGCCGTCGGTCGGTGTTTCAAGCCAGAAAGGATGTTGACATGTTGTGAGGCAATTATGTAATGTAGACTCTTGATATTAATAATACCCCCACATCAAGAGGACTTTTAATCCAAATGGGATCGTTCATTAATCGAGAGTCTACATTAATTTTGGGAGAGGTCCACGATGGATATTATGGCCCGTGTCCCTTTAAAACAGCTGAGGGAGAGGACCTGTGCAGAGAGAGGGAGAGGACCTCTCGGTATGTGCGCAGATGCGAGTACCAAGACATGTGCGCCTTCACTGTCCGGGAGGACGCTGAATGTGAAGGCAGATGGTCCAAAGTGAAAGCCGCGGCCTCCCCTCACCGTGGCCTCCCCTCACCGGGAGGCAACAATGATTTTGTGGATGTATTGGAATCCCTTTTTGGGGCTAGTGGCTAGATTGATTCAATCCGTTGTTCGTTTTCAGCTTGGACAAGGAGAATGTTAAATCCAAATATAGCTTATGCATGCCTAGAGTGGGTAACATAAATGGTGAACTCGAATTCCTGTGGAAGATCATTTCTTGGCCAAAAGCTGCCGATCCTCTTTCCATTTGCCCATGCTTTGAGCAACTTCCCACACTCGTCCGTCCCGCTGCTGCAGGAAGAGGCCTGGTTCTTGTTAGACGATGCGCGCACCCTGCCGTGCCGCAGGGAAGATGCCTTGCGTGTGGAAGCCTACATCGCCTTTTACCGGAAACCCGGGCACTGCCGATCAAAGTTGTTTTTTTCCACCTTGCTCATGTTAGATATGTTAGCCAGGCGCATGTCCCGTTTCAGCAGTTTTGGTTAGATCCGGTTAGATCTCCATGCAAATATAAGAAAGAGTTCACCAGGTGATGTTCACTCTCGCGGAGCATAAGGGCTGCAGCGTATCGGGGTCCGGTGGAGATTTGGGTCGGGTGTCTTCGGCTCTCAAGGTTTAAACAGCTGAGGTGAGAGCACCTCCTTTGATTTTTTGGGGCCGTCAATGGGTCAGCCTTGAGTGTTTCAACATCTGAACCAAGGAAGCCTGCCGGCGCGCCGCCCAACGATCCAAGTTAGTGCGAAAAGAAGGAGCGCCGATGCGTAGGATGCGTGCAAATCCGTTCCCCGTTTGGTGTCATGGGGGGGCAGTTCCGAAAACTAGCGTAATGGGAAGACCGCAGACCATCCATGGGACTGGCCTTATTTGCCTGTGGTTTCGGGGGTCAATAGGCTATATTCCATACATCGATAGTGTGGTGCTGCAGTTCTCCCAAATCCTCTGGACCACGCCACTGGCTAGTGCTTGAATGTTCCACTTCCATGATTGCTTGAGAAAGGGCGTGGAGTAGATCTTGGCAATTGTGGTAGCTGACTTGAAGGGTCACCCAATCAAAAAGCACCATTCCCAGCAGATGGTTGGACAGTATCATGAGCTGTTTGGTGCCAGCTGTTCCTGAAGCACAAATCTGACTACCGCCCTTACCCAGCCACCCTGAGCTGCTGGGATGCCTTTGAACAACAGAGTAGGCCCTAATCTTCCTCCATGCAACTTCGCCCAAGGCTGCACGCCTCCACCCCTGAGGAAAAAGCGCGTGAGCCACGCTTCTCCCACCCCAGGTGCTTTTGAACAGCACTTGGCAACCAAAGCTCTGCGACTTTGGATTGGCAAAGATCCGAGAACAGACAGCACTCCAGTTCCTTGGCCGAGTGCAGATAAGAACTGCGTGGTTTGCAACCTTTGATAGAACATCCTGGAGTTCGAGTTACCAGATTTGCTCGAACACATCCCACCAAAGCATCACAAATTACACCATATTATACCCTCCATTGTCGGACCTCATTTTGTTCCCCCACATGTTCTTCGCCTTTGCTTTTCCGTGGCCCTAAGGGAACACACAAGCACGAACAGCTCCCTCCGATAACAGCTCCGACCGAAAAAACGCCCCCCGAGGACTACGCTGCGGGGGGTTTCACCGATCTGGGCGCCACCCGAGATGTTCGACGACAAGGGAGGCGGAACGCGCCGCACCGCGGAACGGCGGCGCTTTCGTCGGGGGTCGCGCGACGGCGAAGAAAGGGGAAGAATCTGTTTCAGAGAGTGACCTTTTTGGCTGCTGCTTGGTGGCCCAATAGGGTTACTAAACGTTCTGAAGAAGGGTCAGTAAGTGTTCGACCTGTGGTGCACCTGGGGATGATTGCATGATTTGGCCACTCCCGATCGCTCAGTCCTCCCGGATCGCTCAGTCTAGAGAGTCTAAGTCCACTGGACACACAAGACTGCAGCACGTGACGCGTTCTGTTCCGATTGATTCCGAAAGAACCATCAAGAACCCACAATGGTCGGGTACTGGGGGCTCCACTGGCATCGCTAGGAACGGAACAAGAACCGGACGAATGGTCAGGAGTCACTGAGAAGGCGGACGTTTATTCCTTTGGAATCATCTTGTTCGAGCTAGGTGCCAGGCGGCGGCGGCGGTGGGACCAGACATCGTTGGGACGGTCCCACGGTGGAAAGAAAGGGTGAAGCCGACGGTGGTTGCTGACCACGGGATGTGTTTGTTCCATGTTTTTCTGTTATGTTGGATAATATATGGATGATGTCCTCGTTTTGCTGATCAGGTGATTTGCTTTGATGTGTTATTCGGCCCAAAAATGGGTAAATCCATGGTCCAATCCCCTCACCTGTATGGGTTCCAAGGACATCGATGTTCTCATTCGCTGCGCTGCCCGCTCCGTGGGCCCATCCCTCGCAGCGAGAGCGAGACCATCCGGCGGCATCCCGGAAGGCCAAGACTTCACAAAGAAGTACTCAAAGGGGTGAGTTGGTGTTTTTAGATGATGGAAGGATATGGAAGAATATAACTATATCTATACAATAAATCTCATTGTTCGGACCTTTGTTTTGGTATAGAAGTGGAAGATGATCGAGACCTCAGAATCCAACGAGGAACTCATGATCCGAACCCAATTCGGAGGAACATCGATCTAAACCGTTCCTGAAGACGGTACCACATCGGCCGTCATAGATCCGAAAGACATCGAACAGAAGCATTTGGGGAGTGTGAATATAGCCGCCCTTCTTTGTTTTGCTGAACAGGTAGGTAAGTTATGAAGTTATGAATACCTACCTGTTCAGCAAAACAAATAAGGGCTGAACGTTGTACGCCTCCAAGATGCTAAGTCTTACTCGTCAAGGTATTTCCTTCTCTTTTTCTGGCGACCCCGTAAGCCGACGCACGGCTTGCTCGGACCGGCAGGAAGTTGCCCTACTCCGATGTGGGACAAATGCAGTTGCCCCGGGTGAAAGCCAAAGGCGCAAAACCGTGAGTGGCTTGAGTGGCTTGTGCGTGTGTCACTTCTTCCTACCACAAAATGTTGATCTTTGACTAATTTTCTGCAGATTGGTTCCCCCAGTGGGAACCAACAGGTGGAACACATGTTATCATTTCTATTTTCCAGGGAAACGACTCAAAAATGCTCAGAACATGTTTTTTTTTTGCCAGCATCTACTTTCAATTCGCGCGACGGACGACCGACGACCTGCTTGGGATTTCTCATTGATTTCATCGTTGATACTGTTTGGCATCTCTTCCAGTCTTGAAAGACCAGTGGCACTCCATTGATCTGTGGCCCAGTTTCACTTTTTAAACCCAACACCTCACCCAACCTCACCATCCTCCTCAGTGGAGGCCAACTGCCGCGGTTTCCAGCGGAGATGGATCCGGACCAGACGGAGCTCATCCGGCTTTGCCTGGCGCCGCGGCCCAGCAACCGGCCCGCCATCAGTGCGTGAGGAGCTCAGGATGCACGACACGGCGAAGCGATCATGGCTGCGTGGAATACAGCCTGTTCATAGAGGAATTCAGTCTTTCTTTTTGGGCCATGTTCCACGTAACCATGTTTGTTGGAGGGTACGGTCTTGAGTTGGTTGTGTTATGGTTGTTGGGGGGCTCGACCGGGTCGCTCCAAAAAAGTGTGGGCTAAAGGTGCAGCCAAACGGGTCTATTTTGGGGGGTGCCTGGGGAAGAGTTGGTGATGCTGGTGACGCAAGTCATCATGCTTGATTTAGTGATGCATGTGAAAAGCTGGACATGATCTTTTTGGACAGTGGATGGGCGGGAGGGAGGGAGGGAGGGAGGGAGGGAAGTGGTGGTGGTTGGAGCCGTTGTAGCGGGTGCGGGTTTGGGGTGTTGCCGGCTAAGTTGACGTGTGCTGGGGCCATCTTGCCTATGTTGGGGCCATCTTGATGGCTATGTTGGGCCATTTTGGAGTCGGACATCTTAGGCATCTCGGCGCAAAAACACGTGAAAAAGCCCTCGCCAGCCCCGGATTTTGCGATGGAGGAGTATTGAATTGTGTGTTTTTGTTTTTGTAATGTTGGTTTTCCTGCTTTTCGGTGCTTGTCTTGCTTTTCCTTGCTTCTCATTGCTTCTTTGCTTATGATTTCCTGCTTTTCTGTGCTTGTTTAAAGTCAAATTGTTTAAAGCAAAAGCGTAAGTAAAGTAAAGCAAACACAGAAAGCAAACACCTGTAGCTGTGCGAGTTTGTCGTTCTTTTTTGCTTTTTCTTCGCATGTGTTCGCTTTTTTTCCTAGGAACGTACGGCGAATATTGCTGAGGGGAAAAGTTCTCATAAGTGCATAAGTGGTACCAGGAAAAAAGAATAACACATGCAAAAACGATGCAAATTGCGCTGCTGTTGCATGTTCAATTGCTTTTGTTTGCTTGTTGTTCGCTTAAAAAGATCACCACACTTTGATGGTTGGTCATGTATGGCTGCCATGGCTGAACACAAATCTATGTATAGCCACAACCATGGAAACCATCGCAAAAACATCACACAATGACCAAGAATACCAAGAAAACCTCACGAAAAACACACCCACACAGCGGCCTCTCTGTTGTTTGGATGGTGGAATCCTGCGTGTGAGTTTCAAATCTGTTTTTTGGCGGCTAGTTTAAAACCCAGCAAAACCTCCATTTGTTCTTCTAGGATGTTCAATTGTGCGGATGTTCTTTAAAAGTTGGATTTTGGAACAACCGTGACCTTTTCAAAGGTGACCTTTTCAGGGCCTTACATGAAGGCCCTGAAAAGGTTGGAACTTCGAGTGGGCCCACCATGACCAGCGGTGTTTCCAGTTTCGCCGCTTGAGTGTGCGGGTGCGGCGACACATCAAAACGCTGAGGCTCATTTTGAAAATCAAGGACTTGTGCAAGAGCAAAGGCGCAAGCACCGCAGCGTTCGGAACCAAAGGCAACGAAGTCAGAAAGCGTTTTCAGACGTATACATCATGGGGGTTGAAATATATTGACATATTTATATGAATTCTAATCTACGTGTTGTTGGTGATGGTTGGCCAGGTGGTTCGGGGCAATGTCCGCATCCAATGTGCCTGTCCGCGCATTGCGGTAAGGAAGGTCGCCCACCTTCAGACACAAAGGGATCGGCATGGACGTGGCTCCCGGCAGACAATCCCAAAGGTGTTTTCAACGTGTTTGTACCAGGACCTTCCAAAACAGGTGTTTGTAAATAGCCTCTATAAAGGGGTGTCCAAAAGGCACCGTGTGTACGTAAGTCTGGGAGTTCCTGGAATTCTCGCCCGAACGCGTTCTTCATGATTTCTATCAATTCTACATTTGTTACCTGGACCATCCAAGGGTCCAAGGGGTATCAAACCCAACAGGTAGTGTGGGGTAGTTGATGGGGCCACCCCTTGGATGGTCCTAGTAGGGTACATTCTGCGAGTGATGAAGACAATGGCATCTACAAAACCTGCTCGATCGCGCGATCGTCTCGCCAGGACACCGGAACTCGGACAACCGCCTTTGGGAAAAGCCGAATGGACAGGTTCAGCCGATCAACAACTGATTTGCAACAACAAGTTCATGCGAATAAGATGTTTGAGGTTCTTGTTAAAACTTCAGAACTGGGGGGGTGGAGATTGAGATGGCCACTGGGGGGGGTTTGGTGTGATGATGAATCCTCTACGACTGGAGGGTGGCCAGCAACCAGCTTGGGAAACTTCTGCCCAACAAGTTCCAGTCAAGTACTACGAAAAAACATCCCAGTTCCATACACACA